CAAGAAAAATTTTAAATAATTTATATTTATGAATCAAAATCCTTGAAATATATAGTATTCTCTCATTCAAAATATTGTATAGGCAATGTTTCTTTATCAATTGAAACTAAACATTTGATTATAATTTAAAGTGATAACTTAAACAAAACATTTGCTAACTTTAATCAATAATACTTATCGCGTGTAATTATTACGAATTATTGCATATACTGTTAGGCCCTACTGTTTTTCTTGATGGGACCAATAATAAAATAATTATATAGAATCAATACAACAAAACCAGTTAAATATATAAAAATTACTATTAATTAACCCATGTCACCAATAAAAACTTCCCCTATATAAATCAATAATTTAAAACGTGTTTAAACTACATAAGTACTTTTTTTAATTTATTATTTTTTAGTTGATCCTGCAAAACGTTTTTTTGTGACAATTAATTGCCTATCAATTTACCATTCTCCCCTTCTTAAGCGACTCGGTTTTTACAAAATCTAAAACAATTATATTGAATAATAGTGATAAAAAGAAACTATTTTTAACAGTCTTGAATCTAATCATACCCATAAATTATAATTATTTACTATTAATTATCATTCTTTTTTATTATAATTACATATTCTTATTATTACCGCTGAATTGTTTCATCATACGCACAACGTACGCGCCGGGATATATTAACTACCAGAACGAGCTATACAAAGAGCTGGCTACAAGAATCTATAAAAATAAAACGGTTTAAAACCTACATCAACAAAAAATAACGTATAGACAAAACGTGTTAATTGTAGATATACATATAATAAATATAACGTGTATAATGTAGTCAACTTTCTTTATAACACGAACCCACCATATAATAGAAAAAAAATCGTTTGAAATGCCGAAGCGAGCATATTATACTTATACATGTATACATTATATACATACATATAGGTACCGTTAGACAGTAGGCGCATACTCGTATAACCAAATAATTATAAATGTATCGTGTCATGTATAATATTAAGTCTAGTCAAATTAATTTATTAATTCGTCCTTGAACTACGTGTTCATAACATAGGTTAGATAGGCCATATAGCCGTTGTTATGGAAATCAGTAACTTTTCTTTTTATGTAAATATTTCGAAATATAAAAACTCTCAATCAACCGGATTTCTATGATGTCAAACCAGCAGTTTTCTCCACAAAGTAAGGACGTCGGGTATCGTAGCACAACGATGTTAAGCACATTAAATATGTTATAAGTCCTGCTCCTCTAATCAGATCCTCTCTCCTCTTTTCTAAACATACACTTTTTTACTTTGGTAGCAACTGAAAAAAACCCGAGCTCTCGTAAAAGAAAATAATCTCGTTTGGACAAGATAATTTATCACGAATAAGTATAATTAACAATTTAAAAAATATTTTTGAATTAATAAACTAAAACCAATTTGTATAAAACACACTTTGTTTATCTTATATTCGTTCGGACCGTAAAAAAATTACCTTAGATAAAGACAACCACTGCACGAATGTTACTATAGGTTTTAGTAATTATGAGAGAAAAAATTTTCTAGAAAATCGCAGTTAAAAAGTACCCACGCGAAGAGCCAATTAAATGTGTAAATAATAAAATAAATAGGTACCTATACATTTTTTATTCTATAGTTGACACATTCAATAATAACTGTACACGCCTGTAGTTAAAAGCTAATACTTTTAAAACAATAAAATGCTATTATCGATGATAATAATAATATTATTTTCCTTCTGTGTTTGGTAGATCGTATAACTAAATCTGTCTAAATAAGATCATTGGATTTATTTCGTGACACATGGTCCCTATGTTCCTACGTTTTTAATTCACTCAGGAAAAGAAACAGAATTATAATCACGTACGACATTGCCGTGAGTCACTATAATAATTGTTTTTACGGAAACTGAAATAGTCAATGACAATAATTATAGTCTATAGACATCCAAAATATTGTACATATAATACCTAATACTTATAAAACGTTGTAATTTATAATATATAAGTTAATAGGTTGTCGGTAATAAACTAGTAAGTGGGAAAAAGGATACTACCTTGGGCAACGCCTGCATTTATAGGACGTAAGTTGGATATTTCTTCTTCTTAACGTCTTACTGCAAATGTTTGACTTGATACGTATTTTTGTGTTAAGTGATGGATTAAAGAGATAAAAAATATGATTATGTAACATATTAAATAAATTGACGAAGTAATTTAATGAGCACAAGAATCGGAGACTTTTCCACTGTTGATGTGAATCAAATGACGATGATCGCACACGATGTCGGGTGAGTAGGTACGTTGTCACATACACGACAACAAGTCATATGCAATTCGATGAGTATCGAAGTATCTTGACTACGATGTCGGAACATGGCCCGAACGTAACGCAGGCGTGACTATAATAAATAATATTAATCAATACGTTATGATAATAATATTTTTTTATAATCATAATGTTAAAAACATTATTGCATATATGCATTTTTTTAGCACACAGTTACTCTTTCAGAAGCGCGTAAAATAAATATTTATTTACTTTTTAATTCAAACCATAACTTTGCCGCGCTCTATCGACGAATGTTAGAAACACTTATTAATAGGTATGTATCGTATACAAATCTCTTTAGAATCGTTAACGGAGTATTTTTTTTCCATTTACTAAAATACTTTAACCGTTCTTCTTATAGATTACTTGTCTGTTCATTTTTTAGAATTTATGTGTTATCAATAACAAAAAATACCTACTCAATGGGTAGTTTCAAAATTTTTATTTTATAATTTACCACCCAGAAACTATGAATATTTTTCACAGATATTTTTTTTGTATCATATCCCTACTAAATTTTACTCTATTATTTTAAATATTATACAGAATTGATCTATTGTCATTTTAAGGGAAAAAAATATTATCCAGAACTTATTACAATTAAAGGCTTTTTATGATATTTTGATTTTTAATGTATTATGTAATCATGAGTCTACCTAATCATTTACAAAAACTAAAAACAGGCAAAGTAAGTAACTATTCTCTTGTACAGTAAGAGTCAACTATTTAGTGTATCTCATCATTGAATAAGTCATTATAATTTGTATACAAAATGTGTTAAAATTTAATTTATCGAAAAGCGAAAACTGTCTGTTTTATCTTTTATTCGTAGACGGTTGTTCAATGTACACACAGAAATTAGAATTCGTATGAAAAAGCATACCTTGTTAAAGTGAGTGTAAAGATAAAAATGTATCAATTATTATAATTAGTCGAATTGATTGTCTTCAAATACCTACGTCCTACACGATAGTTTTGACTTTGTGATGGACACAAATAGTGTGACGTTACGTAAACGGTTATCAGTTTATAAGGACGATATTATATTATATGTTATAATACCAAAATCAGACAGAAACATATTCAAATCCTGCAAGCTTTTCTAAATGTAAATTTTATATTTATACACGTACTCTTTCGTATACGAATAGAACGCTGCATTCCAATCTTGCGTGAAAACGCGAACGTCTAAAGTGGTCTATTAGTATAAAATCATTATAAAAAAATACCAACAGGTAATATGTATTTTTTAACATTATTATTAAATTGTACAGTTCACTGATGGGTAATGTTTTATAAATAAATTATTAGAAACAAATAAGATTATTAGTCACAAAAATTAAACTTGATTACCTACCTACTGATTTACGGATTACTGAACTAAAAGTATTCACCTATTTCGAATAAATAATGCACAAAAACATATTTTTAATTTTAAATGACGTTTTTCACCAAGTATCTATTTTGTCAATCATACCATATAATCAATGCTTCTGGTAAATTGCTGTTTAAAAAATATTAATAAAAACGAATCAAGCTTATTAATTTTACTTTTAATAACCTCATTTGTGAACAGAGCCGTGTTAAGATGGAAGTTGTATTGTACTATTGTCCCCGTGTGCCGTAGTCTTTTAAGAGTAATCGGACTTAATATGCTAGGTACCTACTTATGGCCTCGAAAACTAAATAATATGTTATAGTTATAATTTTATAAATCAGCGGTTCTCAAACTGTGCTCCGCGGAGCCCTAGGGCTCTGCGAGAGTAGTCTAAGGGCTCCGTGGCTCCCTGAGAATTTTTGTATTAATTAAATTTAAATTATTAAATTATTATTATATTTCTTAGTTAAATTTTTATTTTTATAATCAATATTATTTAGACCGTACCAATATGAATTATTTTAAACGTTTAAAACTTTAAAATATTTATAAATCCACATATTATGTCATATTTTGTGTCATTGTCAAAATGAGATTAGATAAAAGTATGGGTTTTTCATTCATTTGACATGTTGTAAGATAATGATTTAGTTTACTTATCTACAAGAGTACAATCTACATTCTACGAAGTTCTAATAATTTCTTGATTCTTCAGTCATTACTCGTTATTCATCGGCCGCTAACGCAAATATTGTTATTTCGGTGTTTATTCGTATTACGTGTTTCTTATTTTACCATCAATTGTTTTTATTGTTAACAATTTTTTTTGTGAATAAAAATACAAATGGATCGTATATATTCGTATTTTATAGAAAATAAAAATATAAAGCAAATCATTTACAATTTTTAATTGCAATTACATAATTTATTTATGAATTTTTGTTGCCTCATATAGACATTTCTGATCTTTGGGGCTCCGTAATTTTTTTTAGGAATATATGGGCTCCGCGAACAAAAAAGTTTGAGAACCGCTGTTATAAATAATATGTAAGCAAAGGACACCGGTGAACGACGACGGCGGGCGATAAAGAAAAACCCCTTCTCAATAATATTAGATATAATTACGGAATAAAACTAACTATTTATAAACTGATAATAGTGATATTCATATAATAATTATTTATAATATTACCTACGTTTTATTTCCCGGTAATATTATTATTATTATTGTTGTTATTGTCATTTGTCAGCCGTGATCGTTTATTTTGAAACATAAATGATGAAAAACAAGTTGAAAATTTACGAGTCAAATGTTTATGTCTATCTAATCGTCGTCTATGACCGACTGGCGGCTGACGAGTAGCGACTGTGTAATGTGCACTACGCCGTAGTGCTGTACTACTCAGTTATTCTTATTTTCTATTAGACATTCGTTAAACGTTGTGCGCCTTTTTCATTTTCATTTTAATCCATTTACGTTGTAAGTTGTAAAAAGAAAAATTGTAATCTTGTGTTTATGTTTTGTTGAGACCAAATTATTATGAATGAGAAATTATATATATGGTCAAATGCTTATTTCTGGTCAGTGGTCACGGTATTAATTCATTTAAAAAAAAAGTTATTCATTATTTAATTTACTTGTTTTTTTTTTTCAGATAATGTCCAGATATTAATAGTTGGTAAATTTGAATGTACAAGCATTAGAATCTAATAACCTAGATGAGATTAACATACACGATGTAAGTATTTAATAATTTATGTATTTAATTAATTTATAATTAATGCAGATATTATATACCTATTTATAATATATAGATTATAGATATATTCTTATTATTATAAAATGCATGTTAATCATTAATCAAATAACCAACTTTTATTATTTTTATATATCATCATTAAATATGTTTAACAATATTATAAACAAAATGGTTAATTTTTTTAAATAATAACAAATGATTATTGAGTATATAAATAATTTATTGAAACAATGAAATTTTCATTAAAATAAATATGTTAAACAATAAATAATATAAGTAAAATAAAATATAAATATTGCCTTATTACAGAAAAAGTGTTAAATAATACAACCATTTTTGATTTGAAAAATCATCGTTAGGTATAAAAAGAACTTTACTGACTATAATGATATAATATTATACTAATACACTACAGTGGCGTAACTATAAAATTCTAGCCCATGTTCAATATTATTTTATAGCCCCTAAATATCGTTATGTGAATAAAATTAAACAATTACACGTATATATAAAATGTATAATTATATTATGTATTATAATACATATAATTCATAAAATATATCATGATTAATTAAATAATACTTAAAGATAAAATAAATGACATAATAATATGTATTAACATGAAATAATTTATAAATTACGTTGTCAAAATTTTAAATATATTTATAACGTAAATGTTTTTTTTCTTGCCTTCAAATCAGCAAATTGTCTTATAAATTCCTTTATATTCATTTGTTCAGCTTCTTTAGCTTCAATGGCTAAAATTGCTAATTCACTGAGATGTTTTTATTGTTGTGTGGATCTCAAATAATTTTTTATTATTTTCATTTTCGAAAATGACCTCTCTGAATTTGCTGATGCTACGGGTATCGTTAAAAATAACAGTAAACTTGTAACTACACCTGGAACACTTGAATATATAAATGGCTGATTCATTAAAAACTCAATAAATTCTTTTATTGAATTTAATTTTGCTAGTTCTTCTTTTACAATATTCATTCAAACTAACATAATTAATTGTAGTGGGAACTCTGTAGTTAAATCTGTATTAAATTTCTTTTGGAGTTTATTTGAATAATCCATTATTTCATTAACTGGGAGATGTAATAATATATTAGAGCTCAAAAAGTTAAACAAATTACATATTTCATTCATTCCTTCGAACCGATTATGAAGTTGATTGCAATCCATATCAAAAACTTTGTTATATATATTAATTTTAAAATAATGTTCGTTATTTTTAATCTAAAATCTTCAGCTAATTCGTCAAAATGTTTTTTTGATATTTTTCTTCTTTTATTAAAAAATTCAGCTTTTACATTCCATTTATTAGCTATATTGACAGCATCAGTTTTGGCTTTTTCGTAATCATTTCTAAATTTTATGTTCTAATGATAATATTCTATAATATTCTACCTGTTTTATGGACGATTTGATTTATTTTTATACTCTTCGTAATATAAAAGTTTATGGTTTTATCGAAGTATATTATTTATTATAAAATAGTTTAAAATTATTAACAAAATTTAAAATTTTAATATATTTTAAGCAAAATATTAAAATTCTAGGACCCCTTTTTGGACCGTCTAAGCCCTGGGCCTCGGTGCAATGCACACCTATGAACCATGTAGTTACGCCACTGATACACTAGCTAATGCTCAGTTTTATAAGATCAGAAATATTCGGGTATAATCGGTATAGAACACTGTGCAAAAACTATTTTTGCCATTAAACTGATCCAGTGAAATGGATTTTAAATAGTAATATAATAAATTATTAAGTACATAATAAAGTATCAACTCATTTGGAGAGCCTAAAGTTTAAATCAACTTTATGTAAAATTGGCAAATATTTAGATATTTTCCTAGGCAAGTACTTCCTTGAGATTACATAATAGTGAACAAAAATCTTGAGATTGGATTTTATACTCTTGTTCAGAAATTTATTTTAGTATTTTTACTGTCTTCTATTTTATCAAAATGAAACTTTATTTAGTCATCAAAGTAAAGAATTTATAAACTGGGAAAAATGTTTAGACTAAGTTATAAATCATGGAAAAATCGAATTTAGTTAGATCAGTGAAATTATAGTTTTCCCTTGCAATCTGAAAATCTAGAAACTATAGACAAGCAGCTTAAAACTAAAATCCAAAAAGAAGAATCATATTGGCAACAAGTAATTTGTCATTTAATTGAAATTATTATTTTCCTATCATTTAAGGGTGGGCAACTGGCAGCCCAAGAGCTTTTTTAATCTAGCCTGTGCTACGTTTTAAAATGACATAATACAATTTTAAAGTAAAAAATTTAAATTATAAACAAAATAAATACTAATTAAAATGCATATATTTTGAATGACCCTTTTTTTTTGCTTTATTTTTTTTTTAAATTGGCCTTCTAGTAATTTTGTGTTACCCATCTTTGATCTAGGATGTCTTGAATTAATCGCTAAATTTTTTCCACTTATTTCTACACATATTTACAAGTATGCAAATAAAGGTAAAGGAAATGTATCATATTTGTCTAATATCATTTGTAACAATTTTATTTTATTTATAAATAAAACTGCTTTAGAAAATATTGTTCATGAAACCAAAACTTCTAAATATTTCTCAATTATCGTAGACTCTACTCCTAATATATCAAAAGTTGATCAACTTAACAGTCCCAATAAGATGTATACTGATGATGGTTCATCTTTTGAAAGTTTTTTAGGATTTTTACCTTCTCTTGGTCATCAAGCAAAAGATATGGAATTGGTTATACTTCATAATTTTTCTGACCTTGGGATTGACATCAAAAACTAGAGTACAAGGTTATGACAATGCTCAAAACATGTCTGGAATTTATTATGGATTATAATTCTACATAAAAAAAGTTCTACTTGTTAAAGTGTACTTCTTAATTTGTACCATGCTCGATGCACTCACTAAATTTAGTTGGTACATCTGTAGCCGAAGAGGTTAGTGTAGGTAATCGATTTTTTATAATCACTCAAAGTTTGTTTACTTTTTTTCTGGTTCTACTTTACGTTAGAAGATCTTAAAAAATGAATTTAATTCTATTCCTAATACAACAATACTTGAAAATATATGTTCTACAAGATGGTTATTAAGATATTTTATTTGCAAATTAATAAAAAAAAAAAAAAAAAATGGTTAAAATGGAATAATTTTTGTTGTATTACAAAATATATCAGAAGATGTAAATCAGAACCTACTACAAAGTATAAAGCATTAGCTCTGTTAGTCTTGTGATCACCTATTTTTGAAAGATTTAACATGGTCAGCAAACATTTACAATGTGTTAATAAAGATTTATCATCCGTGGTAAAATTATACAAATCACTTGAATTATTTATGAATTAAAAAATAATTTTAAAACTATATTAAATTTAGTTGTAAGTATTTATGAAATGGATTTGTTTCCTAATGAGTCAAAGATCTATATAATAAGAAAACAGTTAGTAGTAAAGTCGTAGGGAAAGAATGTGAAAAAATTTTGCCCCGGGGCATTGAATTACTTGACATTGCTTTGTAAAAAATATCTACAAGTACAGTTTATTACTAAGATTGTAACAATAATACATTATAAACATTACGATATATTTTTCTTGTTTGTAGAGACACAATATTATAACTTCCTGTTTAAAGTTAAATAAGTTGTTTTTTGGCAAATGCTGAATTATTCTTATTTCAGAATCAAGTTTACTTTTAATAAACATACATTTTATAGAGAAGAGAGCATATTTATTTGATTTTATTTATTTGTCCTCCTACAGGTTTGGTCACATTTAAAGTTTTTTAGTTTTAATAATATTTAATACTCATGATTAAATGATAATCTAATAATATATATTGTATTTTTTTATTTTTCAATAGTATCTATCTCTTAAATTTTTCTTCTTTAATTGATTGTCAAACAGCTTATAAAGACAAAACCTTGAAATAACAGCTAATAATAGATTTAAGTTTAGTGCTTGTAGCTCAGCCATAGACATATTATTATATAGATTTCACGTTCTTCAAATCTTCCTAAAGGTTATAAAGTGCCTAAATTGTAAGAAAAAGATAATTAATACTTGTACACATGGTGAGATCTAAACTGTATTTTATTTTTTACTAAGATTCATATTGTTTTATGATACGTTTTCATCATACAATTTATTGTATTGTCTATATAATAGATATATATAGGCGTAAAACTTGAGATTAATATTTAATGATTTTACTTTTTAATTATTAACAGGGCACAAATTATTACTATTTCAATTTAAATATGGTGCTAACTTGTACTTTCAATTCATGATAAGACTCATGTATAAGCCTATGGTTTTTACCATAAATACCTAATCAAATTTTACAGTACTTTCCATCTGTAAATTATCAAAAATTCATTATAAAACTTACTTATTTACTTTCATATACGTAATTATTTAGGCTTACAAAAATATACATAAAAATTAAGAATCAAAAAACATTAAAAAGAATATATTTAGTGGTATAAGATCAATTACACTTATTACATAATTGTTTACAAAATAACTTAAGACAATAAAAACTTATTTTTTTTTATGAATCACAATAAATATTTAAAAATGGTAAAATAATTTTTCTTATAATTTAAACCCTGTATAAGAGAAATATTTTCAATTTTACTAAATACATTCTAATAATTATAAATCATAAATCACAATGAGTAAGGGTCATTTAATAGAGCATCCACATTAAAATCATTGACTTTATGTGTAGTTACTTCTTGGTTATTCTGTTGATCTGAAATAACCTCTTCAACGTCTAAATCTGTTAATACAGGTAATTCATCCGGACATTGACCAGCTAAAAATAATAGTAATTAATATTACAATGCCAAATAAAAACATTTAAGACATTTTAGATGAGGAGATCCTAATAGTATGAATAGTAATTAATAAAACACATGAAGCAAAAATCACATTAAATTGGTTATGAGGTGGAAATACAACTATTTCAATCGGTTATTAAATAATTTATAAAAAATCTTAATTTGATTTATAATGATTTTCTAAGAACTTATTAGCAAATTTATTATTCTCAGATGTAATTTCTGAAAATAATAAATGTGGAATTTCAAACATAATATTATGTATTACATTATTAAAGTAGCAATTTTAAATAAGTTAAATGTGACAATATTAAATATAATTTACAATTATTGAAGTATGTCCTCCATATCAAAAATATGCTAGGTAGATAAATAAAAAATATTTGTTGTTTGTACATGACAACCACACTAAAAATGGTGTACACATAATTTTAAGGTATCAATATTAAATTTAATTAATTGAATTACTTAGTATAGGAATATTAATATTGGCATCAGTTCTAGTTAGTTTATCCATATTCAATATTTCAGCAGCTGTTCTTTCAATCATGTTTTTCCATGCATTTAATCCGGTATCCTATAAATATTATGAAAAACATGAGCTAATAATCTAAAAGAATTTTTATACTTGGTATTACCGTATGAGTTTTGAGTTTGTGAATTTTTGCTGAAAAATGTGATCCATCTTTATGTTTTCTCAGTCTACCTTTAGGATTCATTGCAGGTAATAGTGTTTTGTTTGATACATTTGCCACATTATTTAGTTTCTAAAAATCATGTAATATTTAAAAATACAATTCTATCTATACATATTTATAGACATGTTAATCCAGCCTTCTGAATATTTTAGTACATATATCCACTTAATTTAATCTCTATATTACTACGTGTAATTGTGTCAGTAACTTATCATTTATATTTTTATTAATATTTAAAACGTTAATGTTTATTTCCCATAAAACTTTAAAATAAATTATTTAAGTTGGTCAACTCAGCTTTATGTTAACCAGTAAGATTCTTTCGATTCCTTCATAGTATCCTAACTATAAATTAAATAGTACTCTAGTTCATTATTTTTTTCACTTATATATTTCCCAAGATATAAAATGAGTCTTGTATTTTATTTTGTACATTTTTTTATATTTAATAAAAATTATAAGAATATTATTATTAACAAGTTTTATACCTATGTATATTATAACTATAAAAATTATGGTTAATGAATACAGTTTATTATTGTGAAATTAATATAAATAATATCATTTTATGTTTATTTATAACTTAACTTTAATATTTCAGAAATAATGTTTTTATTATTATCTATCTCTTTCTTAAAATATGATTGCTTTATTTGAAAAAATAAACTTAATTTATGAATTTACACGACCAAGTAACAAGATCTGTTAATTAAGAATAAAAAATATAAGTAAACTATAATGACTGAAGCAATATTATTTAATTATTTAAATATTGTAATGTAAACACACCATTTTGCACGTTTGTCAATAGAGAAGTTCAGATGAGCTTCAATCGCCAGAATCACTAAATTGTTCATCATGGTAGAATTTTCAAGATAAAGTATAATAACTCATTTTTAAACTAAAAAAATTCTGCTATCTTCATTTTTTGAGAAACCTACCTATGAAAATATATGGTTGATTAATTAATATCTACCCATATACTTTAACACGAATTAAACATTATTTTCAGTATGATTTTAATGATAACAGAGTATAGTGAATAATAAAATTATTTTATTTTTATTTTTTTTTTAAAGTTGGTTGTTACTAGCTATAAATATTTATAATTAGTTTCACATTAGGTGATTAATTAGATGTAAGATTCAATCTGTATTTGAAGTAAATAAACAATAGAAATGAAACTGCTGTTTTAATATGAAATATTAAAATAACGTCAATAAATAATCATTGGAATTGAGAGTGTATTAACTAATAGTGTATTTGAATAATGCTACTTGGGTTTGATTTTGGATAAACATATAAACATAAAATGAAACTAAATATCTATTGCACCAAATGTAATACAAGATGAACGTTTATAACGGTGAAGATTGTAAATTAAAGAAACAATTAATATTAATATATTAAGCAATCAATGCAATTACACTGAACAAAAAGATGTATTTTTAAAGTTTAATTATACAGTAGACTTCTAATTGTTTAATTTAGATGATCAGATTCATGCTATTAAGTATTCATTACAATAAATATTGAGATACTTTAGTATAAGGCAACTTCTATTATTGAACTAACCGAGCAAACGTATAATGTCACATTGTTACAAAAATTAATTTAATATTTTTTTAAGAATAAAAATATATTCTGTATTACATTAGTTGGAGGAGATTTATGTAAACCGATGTCCTTTGCCATTTTGATTGCCACTTGGATATCATCAACCTCAATTGTGCTCTTATTAGCAAATGTTGCACATGATTTGGCTTCTTCCAAAATTAGTGATATGGATTCTAATCAACCAAATTATAAATTAGTCATGGAAAAAAAATGTATTGTTTCAAAACAATTACTGTAGTTATTAAATTCCAACAGGTGGTTTACGATATGTTCGTCGCAGTCACGTATTCCTAAATTTTTCATCATTGCCACAACGACTTGAGAATCTTTAAGCAACAGTTTTCCTTTCGGGGGCGACATGATTTTGTCGTAAACCCAAACCCGATAAAGTATCGCTGATCTTCCGATTCCTAAGAAATAACTAAATATTATAATTTATTCTCACATTACTAAACAATAAAATAAAAACAAATAGAACACATTGATACCGAATTAAAAATGCTTAGAATTACAAAAATCAGAAATTAAACGAAAGATGACATTGCACAATGACACACAACAAAGCATGATAATGTAAAATGATAATCAGGGGTTCGCATTTTAAAAGGTTTATTGATTTCAAATTTGATACCTACGTATGATTAGGCATTTTATACTCCCGCCATTATTTATGTTCGAACTATCAGTTTTTAGTAATATTACTGTTTAGTGTCGATCGGAGTGGCACGAATTTACAATTTTATAACTATAACTATTGTTATTTTGTTTATTATTTAAATTTAAAATTAGATCTAGTTAGTTCCTTGAAGTGAAAAGTAAAAAATTCTCAGTACTTATTAAAATTACGGGAAAAAAATTATTATGAAAATAGGAGTAATTCCAGTATTTGACAAAATTATAAAATTTTAGTTTAACTCAAAAACAAATAACTTTAGATACTTTAAATTTATTTATTTTTGAACTGGTTATAGGCTTTTGAATTTTTTATTTTTATTTCGTTAGTAAAATTATTTTTGCTTGATTATAAAACTAAAATGTAATGAAAAAATCATTACAGAATTTATATTTTATTATTATTTTATTATATATATAGGATGATTATTTTTAGTTAGGTACTTAACTAGATTTATATTTATAATCTTTCAGTCTGCCAAATATTTTTGTGCCGAATAAGTTGTTTCAGTGCTCGTTCTTTAGGGTCGGCCACACGAAAACTACCCCGTGGCTGTTTCGAATCAGTGATCATCAAAATAGTAAAAATATTTGGCGAGCTTTTTAAACAAAAAAGGTATCAGAGTAACTTGCTTAGTTTGAAAATGTATGGCCAGGCCCCCACGTCGAATTTTTAATATTTGTTTTAAATATTTTTACGGTTTTATACAAAACTTCTTATAACAAAATTTATCACAAGCTATTTAGTCATCATTCATCAAGATTAATAATTTATGATTATATATTGTTTTCATTAATACAATAAAAGGGAAAAAACAAAAATATTTTAATTTATCTATGATATAATTTTATTTTACAATCTTTGAGACAAGCAAATTCTGTAGTAACGTCATAATCGACATTTTTATCGAAATCAAAGCATTCTCCATAAATAAAAAAAAACAAGTGAATTTAATTGTTCCAAACTCGTTGATCTTTCTTTTTTAAATTATTTTATAGTTAACAACTTAAAAAAATGCATAAATTATTCAATTTTTGTAGTAAAGACTTGAAAATTCAATAGAAAATTCCTCCCTCCAAAATGGCTCACAGTAAATATATAAACATAATTTTGTTTTTAGGTAATTGATAACTTAATGATAACTTAAATAATATGTACAAGAAATCACATTAAATTGTTCATTAAATAACATAAAAATCAAACGTGTTTTCCGAAATAATAAATGCAGAATTTTAAACATATTATGTTAAAGATTTTTAGAACAGCAAGTTTAGAAATAAGATAAGTATGGCAATATTAAAAAGTATTTATGTCTGCTATATAAAAATATATTGGGTAGGTAGGTAAGAAAAAAATGTATTATAATATAATAATTAAAATTATAAATCTATTTATACTTACAAATTAACTTGCTTACTAGCTTACTAAGTATTCAAGTTATGTAATAACATATTTGTTCTTACATATTTTGTCTATATATTCATATAAACAATATTACAATACAAAAAAGTGTTACAATTTTATCTAAATGATTAATAATATATTAAGTTTTGATTTTTAATTATTATATATTTGTAAAAGTTATTAAAAAATTTAAGTTATAGCTGTAAATAAAAATATTAGTTTAACACAGTTAAAATGAGAATACCTACTTATTTAGTTTGTATTGAACAATTTAATCCAATATAAACGTTTTTTTTTAATAATAATTCTATTAACACAAATTACCGTTATTAAATCTGTAGTAATCTCAACAAACATCAAATAATGGATGTATAATATACAGAAGAAATGTGATTCTTATTTTTTAATATAATCAATAATCATAGAATTATTTTTTACTCATTATAATAGAATTTTATTATATCATTGAATAATATATAAAATGTATGTTTGAATATATATTAACTAATTAATTCACAAATTTACTCTTTATATATTTTGTGTACTTGTTATAGTCCATTTAAATTGGTTAAAATCTCTAAATGGTATGGTATAGTAAATGAAGTAAAATTGATTACTAATCAACAATTAGTATCAGTACATTTGATTAATCAGGATTATCAATCGACTTATTTTGTACAATTCCATTACTCAATTACTAATAACCACGAAGTGGAATCCATAAAAAAAATTGTTTATGTTGTTTGTTGTTTAAATGGCATGTAGAGAGTTAGGTCAACCAGGATAACTATAAAATGCTGGGTTCTTTTGATGTTTTAACCTTAAAACAATGAAGAATCAATCAAAATATGTTTTTATTATAATTCATCAATAGCAATATTTATAGACGGATTTAGGTATGTGGTGGTCCCTGGCGGAATGCATTGTGGGGGCCCCTTATACATAAACAAGAAAATATATTATTTTATTTATTAAATAACATGTATTATCATATTTAGTAGTAGTAACAATTTACTACTTATGTAATAATAAATAATTATTAAAACAATCAAATCGAGCAATTAGTATAAGTAATATCATAATATTAAAAGTAATTAAATAAAGAATAATAATAAATAATAAATAATGTCAAGTAATTAAAATTAAATACCTGGAATTTTTTTTAATTTTATTTGTACATAATTATCAATAATATTTTGAAAATCAAGTTTTCTTAAAATATCAGATTTAGAGCTCATTATCGCTAGTTAATTGAGCCTGTCACCATCCATAAAAGTACAAAGTCTATTTTTTATGTACTTTAAATTAGAAAATGATCTTTCACTACTGCTGTTTGTAATCATTAAAATAAGATAAATGTGAAGAACTACTACAGTTTGACATTAAAATCCAGACCCACGTGTGCATATATCTTGAAACACATTTACTAATTACTAATGCGACGGTACACACTGATCACGGACGCCAACGCTCATTATCCGTAAACGAGCGAGAATACGTCTATTATTAGTTAGTAAAATAAAAATTCTTAAATGTCCAAGTAAAGTTCAATATTATTTGATTATATATGTGTAAACATAAATAAAATATTTTTCCTGTATCCTAATTTAAATATCATACAATTGTGGGGGCCCTTGGGCTTCAGCCCACTCAGTCTTCCCCTAAATCCGGCCCTGGTAATATTGATTGCTCATTTCGACTTTAATGTCTACATTTCAAAAATTCTATTATAAATACTAGAGTCAAAGATACTTTTTATTTAAAAATAATTAATACAAAAATAATATGCAAAATGTATTAATTTGTAATTTTTGATTGTTTCATTGTCATTTCTTTGGGATTAAATATTACTTATTATTTTTACTCTAATTTTAATTTTAGTTAAAACTTATTATTATTATAATTATTTTTATCAGTTTTTTTTTTTTTTTTTGTAATAATTACTATATTGTGATGAAGTAATTCTGTGTGTATTTTATAATGAGTATATAATATATAATATTATATATATTAAAAGTGTCACAAAAAGACAAGATAACTTAAATAATAATACAATTATCAACTGTAGAACAATATAAATTGCAGAATTGATTTCAAATGATTAATATCATAATAAAAAAAGTAAAAATTTATAATCTTAAATATTACTAACTACAAATCAATCATTATGCTAATAGGGCTGAAATGGTTGTATTTTTTACAGTGGTGTGCAATTAAGAAAAGAACGTTGTTTTTAGAGTTAAAAGATAGCATATTAAAAAGTATACCTTTTCATAATTTGGAGCAATCAGAGTTTTATTATCAATTAATGCTTTAAAAAAAAAGTATTCTTTCTTGGTTAATTTTATGCGAAATGTACATAATGAAGCCAGAAGGACATTAGTACAGATAATATAAAGTTTCTAATTATAAAAATGAACTAATTTTCATAATTTAGAATTAGACTATACAATATAGGCAACACAAAAACCCAATAATATTATTTTATTCGCTTTTGTTATATATAAAATATAAATCAGTAGTTAATTGTAATACAAGAAATTCTTTTATATACACAATATACCTATGGCTCAGCAATGGTGCCGCTCACAACGGTTGCAGCCGTCAGCCACCGCCGCCGCCGCCGCCGCGTACGTAGTACCGCCTGAACCAGTCGTGGCCGCTGCCGACCGTTCGCACACGCGCAAGACGCCGCCAAACGACATTTACATCAGCCTGCGATGAAAAAACGACCGGGTGATAAGGCACCGCCTTGATTTGTTTATCAAGAACAAGCATGAATGCAGTCGCCGCGTATTCTCATCGTTAGAATGCGCTACGTGCTACGAACAATAATAATCATTATTGTTGTTAGGACCACACTGAGTGGAATCCAAAGATTCGGGAACAAAACTCACTACATCTGGGGATTGCATAGGTGGGAATCCATTATGATATCACGGGGGCTAACATTTTCAGCGTCGAAATGAACAATGGTGGTGACTGGTGACGAAACTCCCACACACCTACTGTAGATACGAAGAAAAAATGTCTAGTTCATATAATACATTTTTGTATACATACACAAGCAATTAAAATATTAATATTATATTTATATCGGTAGTTAAAAACAATATTTTAATTTAATTTTATTGTATTTATCGTAATATTAATGTTCTGTAAACTGTTGTTTTTTTCTTATAAAACGTATTAATAATTTATGTGTTGTCAATATTTTTTTATGGGAGTTTTTCAACACTTAATATCGATAAAGTATTGAAATAATTTTGAATAATTAATGTTCTTGACCATGTTCTCGTGGTTTATTGCAGCAAAGCTACGCTCACAAGTGGCTGAACTGATCGGTAATGTTACCGCCACTTTACATGTCTCCTAAATGGAAGTCGATTTTATCGTAAATACTAACAAAACACAAATTTGTAACTGTCATTTTAAATTTGAAATTAACTATTCTCAAAATTTAATTTGAAAACATTGTTAAGTGCAACAGCTTATTTTAAACTTTTCAGAGAAAATTTTTTTCCGTATTTATAATTACAACATTCAAAACTTAAAAAAAAAAACATTCTTTCTGAAATTACTTTCAATCGAGTCTTGTTTGAATTTTAAAATTTCATAGGAAACTGTATACTTTGAACAAATTGTTAGATAGAACGTTTTAAAAAATTTTCAACAATAGCAGTAGTGCGTGTTGACGCGATTGCAATATTTTAAATCGATTTACCAATGGAAAATAGTATACTTAGTCTTTATACATAATCTGGTAGTTTTAAATGATTCTTCGCCATTTTTCTATATATTTAAATATACTTATAACTCATTTCATTTTTTGGCAAAAGTACACTATGGAATGTCGGCCTTCAATTATTTACAGTTAATTAATAGTTAATTACAATTTGTCTAAAAAAAAAAATGCTCAATGTTAGGGGTAAACTTCATGTACATAGGAAAGTGATCTGCTTTTCTATTCGCCCAACACCAATCATCAGCCATGTGTATAATTACGCAGTCGCAGTATGACAGTAAGTGAGCAAGTAGCCCCATTTATTTACTATTATTTATGTCATATGGCCTACTCATATATTGTAATTACCTACTTTAATTTAAAAATCGATATGACTTAATATGAAATATTATAATTTATAAGTAAAAGGTTAATAGTGAAATATAATATTTATTATTATACGTACTCACATATACTTTTAATGATGGACAATAAATAACTTATAGGTTAAATAAAAAAAACAAGAATTTAATTTCATAATTATTCGGGTGTCATAGACTAAATAATGTATAATTAGTATTTTAGTAGTTTCAAATTATTTCAAACACAAGTTAACATGACTACTATTTTGAAAATTCAAGTCACTTTCTGAAAATATATATGTATCATTGACAATTATCTAAATTAAGATGGGTAAATGTTATAAGAAATACATTTTTCGTTTATTTAAATTAAATATATATGTATACACTATATATTGTGTCAGTGGCGTAGACAGAAATTTTCATTGCGGGGGGGGGGGGGGGGGGGGGAGACATATGAACACCAAAAAACTAAAAAATATTTGTATAAAAAAAATTATTTTATTTTTCTACAAAATGGTATCAATCTACAATATAATGTCTATTTTTCTAGATTTATGTGACATAATATTAAGAATTTCTATTTTTTCTATTTTCGGTATTTTACATAAAGTATATATATACATACTAAAAAGTCCATGGGGGAATCCATCCCCCTAAACCCTCCCCCCCACCGTGTCTACGCCCATATATTGTGCATCGCATACCATGAATCGTTAAATATGAAGAATACAAGTATATAATATTATGAGTCTTTGACCGGTAATTAGCGCCCCTGGTTGCGTTCAAACGTATTCAAGATTTTTATTGAGAACATTGGAGTGTGTCGATACGAACCGGTTGCATAATGAACTATCAATAAATTATACGTGTAATATACTAATATATCAGTGAAACGTACCAAACTATCGACCTGTATCGTTACGTATCAAATTTTACACATGTTATAAACATAAGCTCCTTGATAAGATTTCTTTGATTGAGGTTAAGTTATAGGTCAATATCGATGTTAATAGTCATTGTCCGTGACAAACTGAATTAATCTCTTAAGTGATCGCATATTTACAACAGATCAACGAATCTTTCTTGTAACAACAGTCATGGCTAGAAAATCATCAACAAAGTTTTGTTATCCCCAAAACTTTTGTATTGCGTGTAATCTACCAAAACAGAAACTTCAAACATCTTTACACTCGTAAGTATCGCTATTAACTTTTTATGGTGTGTGGGTATAATAACACGTTAGTTAAATCAGTAGTATTTCATTTTGTATTAGATTTCCATCGTGTCCAAAAAAACGGCAGGACTGGATACACGAATGTAGATTACCAGAAGAAATAGTTTTACCAAATAGTAAACTTTGTGCCAACCACTTTGCGCCAACATGTTTTAAACCCGATATAAAGAGACGGATACTTCATCGTGATGCTGTACCGACAATATTTAAACATTTAACAACAAAAATACCAACAAGAAAACCCGAAAGTATTTTATTTATTTTATTTTTCTTCAAATAATTATTACTAATGAAGTTTTTGCTTCTATAATGAATTTTCATATAACTTTTTTATTTTTATTTATTTTTTTTTTTTTGTGTTACTATTACATAATTACAAGTAGGTGTAATTTATTAGAACTCGGTAGTATTTAGTCTACCTAAACACAAGCCGGATTAAGATAAAATATTACTGTAGGCATGATTTTCCAGGCGCCCTGTAATGCTACTTATCTAATTAAATAAATTTGTTTGAACACATGCCATAAATTTACCCAATATACCTATAGTATCAAAATATTTAGAAGTTAAAATAATGTACAACAGAATTTATGCAAAATGATATGCATTGTGATAATATAAAAATTTTAAATTAATTTTTTTTTTTGTGCCTTAGATGTAGCAAAATCGTTAATTAATGAATCCATGTTTAAAGGTTTTAAAAGATCTACTTCAATATTTAATTAAGCTTAAGTATTAAGACTATAATTTGTCATTGATGATCTCGTGTAATTTTTAACTTTTTTTAGTATGGAAAATGAACACTCCCCAGTGCAATTTGCTACAGCAGTACACAAATATATTCTTATTACTATTTCTAAATTTGGAAACATTTCTTTTAGAGTTTCATCTTTGATTAATTTTAACATAAGACATGCTGAGAATGTATCACAATTTTCTAATAAATTTTTTTTGTGTTAAAATTAATTCTCTAAAGTGTAATCATTCTGCTTTGAGTATCTTGGAATTTTCTATATCATTTGGAAATTTTTGAGCCAAATTTTGACAAATTAGTTTTATATAATGAATACTATAATCTTTGTATAATTTTGAAATACAATCATACGTTTCAAGAGCAGATTAATATGCTTCACATTTTCTATTTAACTGCGTCTTTAACCCATTAGTTATTACAAAATTAATTTCAGTTTCGTAGTTCTGTTTTGCATAAAAAAAAAGATAAATTTTAAATATAAAATTATTTAGTAATGACATTTTGAACAGTGTACTTTTAATTTAATATATTAAGTAGGTACTTAGTACATTCACATTTATTTTTTTTTTTTAATGTTATACCCATTACAAATAATATAAATAGTTATTCAATAAATATCAAAATATCTGACAACCGCATTAAAAAATGGATGATAAAAATATTAAAAATTTTAATTAAAAATATCATTTACTTTTTAAAATTAAAATAATTATTAACATTAGTGCATAACTTGAAATTATAGATACAATAGAACAAAACAAATAGATAATAATTTTCTTATTTCTTTTACATTTTTTTTTTTTTGTCATTCAAATATGACGAACTACCGCCTAGTTCAACAGAATTTTTTTTTGTAAATATTCAAATTGAACTCTTATTATATTTCAATATTTCTCCTAATGATGAATTTAGTTGTACAACTATACCAAGATCAATATTTACAGATTGAATTTTTTATTTACTTCATTAAATCTTAAAATAAAAATAATATATTAATATTAAGCTAGATTCTGTTGAACTAAACAAATTAAAATAAAGCAATAATAAGTAAGCTCAAACCTTGTACGTGTTGAGTTCCATGTGAAAATCATTATCCACGTGTCTAGCTAGGTCAATGCATTAAAAATTTATTTAGTTTCTATTATATAAGTCGGTTTTTCATTTTTATTTTGAATAATATATATAAGGGCATCTTTAATATTTTTAAATGAATTATATAAAGCTTTACATGTGTCTATTCGAGTACTCCATATTGTCACACAAAGACTTAACAACTTTACCTTTTTCAGTATGTTCTTCTAATATCAACCAACAATTAGAAGTGCATGATAAAAAATTGTAAAACTTTTGAAGGAAATCAAAAGAATATAAAGCATAAGTACATTTATCAACAACATTAGTTCCAATTAAGTTAAATTAATTTCCAGCTCAGGGAATATGTTCAGCATTAGTATTTAATTCTTAAATTATAGCTTGTAAGCTGATTTATAAGCCCGACATATAAGTAATATTGTTATAAGTTTAACCACAATAATCTTTTATGGAAATTTTCAAATCAGAAAGTGTTTGGATGATTACATCTTTAAACTCTTGAAACTTATGTTTAATATAAGACATAAACATTAGAAATTGTTAACAGGTTTACCATTTGAACATACATATATGATAGTAAAAACTAATTGATCCTTATGTGATACATCAGGTGAAGAATCAATTATTATCGAGTAATGTTTACTTCTTCTAAGTTCTTTTAATATGTAATTTATTAAATAGTTTTGTGATAATCATAATTTAAGATTAACACTGTGTTTAGATACTCGGACGTTTGTGTATATAATGTGTACCTGGTCGTCTGTAATGCATATTGTATATACACAAACACACAGGTATCTAGACACAGCGTAAGATTTAAAGGTATTCTGTAATTAACCTATTAATTTGTTAGCATTTAAAAAAATTCAAATACACATAAAAAATACAAACACAATTTTAATTTCAATTTCAAGAAAAAAAATTAAAATTAAAATTGGGATGCCACACTATGTGATGTGTGTTGTCTTCTCCATTTGATATTTTTTGGCACTCTAAGCAAATGCCTATTCTGCCTTTACGTTAATCCATGCCTGCATGTATTCTATATTCTTATAAAATTGTAATATGATTACAGTTTGTAACATAAACATAGTAAATCTAGCAAAATAAAAATATAAATTATAATTTATTACTAATTAAGTAGGCATTGAATGTTTGAATTTTAACTATAACAATTTTAGAACTCTTGGAAATTTATAATAAAGAGTTTAATAATAAAAATCAATTTAAAATACATTTCTGATCTATAAAAGCCCTTCGATAGTTTTGACTATAGATTTCATGTATTCCCTTTAGTAATAAATATAATATGATATACCTAACATTACTAATTATTATTTATTAGCAATTATTATTATTAAAGTTGTATGGTTCAAACAGATAGTTTAACATTATTAATCAAATATTAAAATTATCATAAAACAACAATTAGTTAAATAAACTAATATTTATATACTTATATAAACTTATTTCAATATATCCTTATAAATAGTTGCTAAAATAAATAACTTGTTCAATATAATATTTTTTTTTGTGAGCTATGACTTATAATTGAGTTCTAATAATATACATTCTATGATTTCTTTTTGTTACAGTAGTTATTACTAAAAAACCAACGAAAAGGTCCAATACTTGTATTGTGTGTAAATCAACACGAAAACATTTAAGATCCAATTATTCTTTGCACGCGTAAGTGTTGCTTTTAATTGTTCAAGCATGTGAGGACAAGAATATGTCAGTCCAATAAGTAATATTTTATTTTGTATTAGATTTCCGATATGTCTAAAAGAACGGCAGGTTTGGCTGAACCAATGTAAATTAACAAAAGAAGTCTTACCAAGCCATAAGATATGCTCTTACCACTTTGAGCCAACATGTTTTAAACCTGGTCTAAAGAAACGTACGCTTTATCCTGATGCTATACCGACAATTTTTGATGAAGATTCAGATTGCAAAGGTATTATATATTTTTTTCCCATAAATTATTGTGATTGGGTTGACCAGGTTAAGGTTAGGTATTATTTGTATAGACACATTTTATACCATAAAAATGATACAATTTTCATTATTGAGAGTAGCTTATAAAATAACTAGTATGTATTTTATTTTGAGAAAAGACCCAATAGATTAATTTCTAAGAAGTCTATTTAGTTGTACGTCATAACTAGAGCACAGATTTGTATGCACTAAAAAGTATCAAAATATGCAGTAAAAATCATAAAAACATGCAACAAATACGCAAGAAAATTTTTTTATTTATATAAAATTCACAAGTTAAATAACTTATAATAATTTTAATACCAAGTGTACAAAAAATGTTGTTTTAATATACAATGCATTTCAAATTTTTTAAAAATATGCAGAAATATGCAAATAAAATTTCACAATTAGATTCAACCAATAATGATTTGTGAAGATAACTAACAAAAATCCAAAAATGTGAAAAAGAAAATAATATGCGATTGCATATAAATATGCGTTGTGGTTATTATTTAATGCCAAAAAAATTATTTTTAATATTTCTACTTGACAAAATATTATTTTTTACATTTTTTTTTTCAAATTTTGCTTTAGTATACAAAAAATTTCACTATTGGATTCAAATTGTTACAATTCTTAAAAATAACTGTCAAAAATTCAAAAAAGTAAAAAAAAAAATATGCACTTGCATAGAAATCTGCACTCTAGTCATAACACAGTATGTGTATTTTTCATAGTTTTACTTGAAAATTATTTTTATTATATTAGGCCGTCAATTTCATTTGTATTACTTAAAGTTCTGTATAGTGATCAACAAAATGGAAAAAATTAATATTAAATCACTAAAAAGTTATTTTTAACTTTTGTTTGTCTGAAGTTATTTATATTGTGTTTTGAAATTTATATAAAAAATTATAAAATTCTATAGTTCTATTATTTAATTTCAAAATACAATAAATCTAAAATTTATCATTAAATATTCCCATTTTGTCACTAATTTATACTAGAATTAATTTATATTTAAATATTCATCAGTGAGAAAAGTTCATGTGGTATAAACTTTATAAAACCATAGAGAACTGTTGTATAGTAATAGTTAATAATATAGTAAATACAATAAATATATTAATATAGTTTATTTATTATTTAATCAACGACTATGTCTAGTCATTGAAAGCACTATTTTTTTTAAAAAAAAACTAGAGTAACTAAATCATTACTGTAGACAAAAAAATTTAATACAGTTTTCGTACATACTTAAATTTTATTTTTTCTAGCATCTGAAAGCTTGTGAATTCTGGATTGTAACTTTTTAAAAGTATCAACTCTTCTTTGTTATACGACTCTTTACAGATGTTATAGTAACACATTTTGTAAGAAATTGTATTTACTATATGTAAGATGTTAGAGACTAATACATATTTCATAAAAACTTTTGATAATCAATTGATAAAAAGTCTCTTTACTTATTTTCAAAATAATGTGGTGATTTTGTTTTTTTTTTACTGACATTGTCATTCTGTAGTATAACTTTTTCTTCAAATACTGCTTTTTAATCTGTATCATTAAATTGATTTTTCTTTTAAAAGGTTCAATGAGTTGATTGTTTAGAAAATGATTAATGTTGTATTAGCAACTGAATTTTATGTGTTTATAAGTTATTTAGTTGGTACCTTAATTAACAGTAACAGACATAAAATCAGAGTCTAAATCACCGACATCAAAATCATCTTCATTGTTAACTGAATACATTAACACTTATTATTCAATATGTTTATGATATGTAAAGATGTTGTGCTAGTAATAGAATGTTATGTGAATATAAATTATGTTGTTCCTCGAGTTACTATAACATGCTCTAAATTATCTTAAAGTAATAACTCGTATCAAATATCTTACAAAAGTTGATCTATAAAAATTATTTTATTTAAAAAAAGAAATAATGAGCCTAATATTAGAAAAATACATAATCCAATTATAGTAAATAATATTAATTTTGAGTATTTTCCTATACTTGGTAATGTATAAGGTGTGATTCTTGTCCATCATTAGTTTTGTATTGATTATTTTTGACATATAAAAAATTGAGTTACTAGTACTAATTATATTTTTAACTTGAACTTAACTATACTTTATGTAGATACTGTGATTATTATTGTTTTATTATTTATTACAATAAAACTATATAGTTATTGCATGATAACTCCTAAAATTATTTATTTATTTCAAAAATGATACTAAAGCAAAATTCACCTTTTTTTTTGGGGGGGGGGGGGATTATATAAAAGTAAATTTTTATAAAAATGTTGATTACTGTGTTTGACAGTATACAGCTGTACTATATAATTTATAGCTGCTGATACGTTTGTAGAAAATAAATTTCAATTTTGAAATTTAAAAATTATTTCAACTTGTATATGTTAAATTTCTAAGTATATACATTAGCAACATTTTACTGTAAAAAATAATAGTTAAATTTCAAATATAAATTATTAATCTGATACTTATGTAGTCTTAATGTTTTGTTTGTATAAGAAAAGTAAGATAAATTATTTTTCTGTTTTAGAAGTTTGTTTAAAAAAAGCGGTTGTTGTTCTTACGCGTATTCAACGGCCTAGACCCTTAGATTTTAAAAATGCTAAAACAACAGAAGAAACTATGCATTTGTGGATGTTACACCAAGCATTTTTGAAATATCATATAAAAATATTTGAAGAGAAAATAAGAAGTTCAAAATAAACGGAAAAGAAATAGAATTTTACAAAAATAAATATGAACACTAACTAAGGCGTATAAATCAACTATAAAGGATAAAAGGAAAGTAAATTAAGAAATGTATATTATTATAAATACATTTTTTTTTTTAATTTTACCAGGAAATTTTTTTTACGCCAATGTTTTGTATTAGAAAACAAATCCTATATGATTTTACTGTTTATTTTATAATATATTAAATAAATGCCTTTATTTATTTAGTTTTTTTTTTTTTTATTCTTGGAAAGTTTATTACAATTTAAAAAGATTGTTAAATAATTTTGAATATCTCTTAAGTGAAAAATTGGTATAACACATTTATGAATAGTAAAATATTATATACCCTTAAAAAAAAAATTGAAAATTACTGCTTTAACAGTAGTGTACTCTTATATTCCTATTTACAATTACATACATAGTAACACTATACTACGATAACAGTATACATATATTTTTTAATTACAACCATATTTTGATAATTAATATACAAATAAATTTCAAATAAAACAAAAGTTAAAAAATGTGTGTGTTAACCTATAGGATTAACTTCATAATAATAATAATAATAAATTACTTGTTGAATATTCTTAGCTTAATTTTTTCTTTGAAATCCAAATAATGAAATTAAATTAATATTAATAAATTTTGGTGTCAAAAAATTAAAAAAAGATTTAATAACTGCATCAAATAATTATACAACTGTAAATACCGTGATAGGTAAATACCAGATTTTTTTATCAGAGGGAAATATTATCCGATAGGCACAATTAAGACATTGGTTTCTATTTAAATAATAATGCAATCAATGACACTTAAAAGTATAAATTGTTAAAGCACTTGTGGATTCCATCAAATAATTAAGACATTTCGATATTTCAAAATCAATGTTTTAAACATTTATTCCAGTCGCGACCTACCTCTCGTCGTTAACAGTCGTCTTATCGCCAGTTACCGCATTATAGTCGCGTTCTTTCTTCGTATTCTATTAAAATACTTCAATATGCCGTTGCCGGCTAGCGGCAACGGCCGCCTTCTCGGGCAAAAATCTGGACAAGGTAAAGTTAAATCTGCGCTCGCTTCCACTCATCACGATGATTCAAATTTCAAGACTGTCACATATAAAAAGAACAAAAAATCATCAAACTCGCTCAACGAGCCAGTCTCACCAAACCTTCAACATATCATAACTAATCATCCTGTTCTCAATATAAACAACAAAGATAATTTTACATATGATAACTCCATGGCTACATGCGACACTCTCGACGATAATAGTATTATCGATAACGACACAATTAGCTCTTCACCATCACCCGATCAAGTTATTACAAACACTACTTCGTCTCATTCTACATTGCCTGTTACCACACTAACGAAACTTATCACTGATCAACACCTCAAACACTTTGAGCCTACCTTCGACGGTACACCGCTAATTATTATCATTGAGTTAACCGATACTAATACTTCCACCTGGCACCCGTTAAAGTGGGCTAAATTGCTTAGTACTAACTTTTTTGGTATTAATAATATTAAACCTATTGGTCACAAAAAAGTAAAAGTAACATTCGACTCGACTTTTCACGCTAATATTTGCCTCGATTCGCCTCTCCTAGCTGAACACAATTCATCGGCTTACATACCCTCAACTCTAATATTTTCGTACGGAGTTATCAAATTGGATACCTCCTTCTCAGAGGAGGATTTTTTTGAAGGCGCAAAATGTGTTGTACCCATTATTGGATTCAAACGTATTGTCGTTCACAGGGACGGTAACCCTACCCCTACCCGCATTGTGGAAATTAAATTCTTGTCTACCAAAATTCCAAAATCACTATCAATTTTCAACGTCCTCTTCGATGTCTCGCCTAGCGTTCGTTCGCCTCTTCAGTGCAACAAATGCCTTCGGTTTGGACACACCCACAAATTTTGTCGCAGCAGTCCAAGATGTAGCCATTGTGGAGAAAACAAGCACTCCATCGACCAGTGCCCGACCGTACAAGCCACTGATCCTCGCTGCCTTTTCTGTCACCTCCCTCATCTCGCCACCGATCGCAACTGTCAAGAATGGGACTTCCAACGTGACATCAAAAAAATCATGGCCACCGAAAACATCTCATTCCGTGATGCCATCAACTTCAAAAAACAAAATCAGGTCTCTTCAGCTTTTAGTTACTCTAATATTGTTAATAAACAGCCTATGGTTTCTTCCAAAAATATAATCCCCCCTCCCCCACAATCTAATCATCATCACTTACCAACGTCACTGAAACCAACTACACGCATCTCCACTCTCCGAGAACTACAAGGCACTATTCCCCTCCCCGGGCTGTCAAACATTTTAAACTTCCCACCCAAAAGAACTTTTCCCTTCCCAATAGTTCGTTTCTGGAATACGCTCATAATAACCACTCGATAAATGAATCTCCAAATCAAAATAATGACCTCACATGGGTAAATACTCTTTCAACCAATTTAACACAATCATTAATGAATGCTCCTCTCAATTCTCAAACAGCTAGTTTTCTTCATAACCTAATCGAATCTTCTCTTCTCGCTCTCTTAGCAATACCTGGTTTTCCTTCTATATCCAGTGCCGCAACTAGGTCTTGTGGGGCCCTGGTGCAAAAAATGTTATGGGGCCCCTGTACCTGTACACTTGCCCCCTCAACCTACTCTTAAAATTAACTTTTAAACAAAATTTGGTAATTTAAAAAAAACTGTATATTGAAGTTGTATAGTATTAAGTTCTATATTCTATCCTTTATTTTATTATTTTCATTTACTGAAATTAATTACTTATTATTACCTATATACTTGTGTATTTGACTTTATATAATTCATGATTATTATGAACAATTTTGAAATTTAGTCCCCCCAACTAAAATTCCTAGCTATGCCACTGCAATGTATAATATTATATAGGTAGATAAAAGCATCGTTTATACTATTGTAAATTGTTTCTATATACTACATGACTCCTAAGAATCAGTCTTTAAATGAACTTATTTTTGTTCCCTTGTGATTTGAATGCTTTATAAATTTACATTTTACAATTAGTTTATTTACATTATTCAAATGGTCCTTACTAATTAGACACTTACACTATTGCACCCAGTCAAGTAATTAAAAAATTAAATTCAAACATAATATAATAATAATAATACCTTTTTATTATTTTATTCTGTATTATAAAATATATAAACAATAAACATCTGAGTAAATTAAGTAATATTCATAAATAAATAAAAAACTATTATAACATACCTATGCAGTTCAAATTTAAAATATATTTTATAAAATAACATTTTTATTTACATCATTATTTACAAAAAAATTTTTTTCTTGCTTTTTTATTAGCAAAGTCATCAATTATTTTATTTACATTAAGTTCTTTAGTTCTTGATCGATCTATATTTAAAATACTGATATTTGATAGCCTTTCTTGTCCCATTGAATTTCTTAGATAGTTTTTTATTATTTTTAGCTTGGAAAACGAAAGTTCTGCTGATGCAACAGTGACTTGTAATGATATAAAAATGATACAAGCAGTTAATATATCTTTGAAAAGAGAAGCCATATCATTTTCTAAAATATAATTTGCTTTATCTTTTATACTTTTCATAGCTGACAGTGAATCAATTATCACTTCTTTAAAAGATAACATCTGTCTCGTAAGATCTGAACTTATATCTTTCTTGTAGTATAAAATGAAGTCATAAGTAGTCTTGATAATGTTATCTTCGCTAGATACTAAAATTACTTGTGGTTGTAAAAAGTTGAATTTATCAACTACTTTCTGTAAACCCAAAAAGCGATTATTTAGCTGAACTAAAGCTGTATCAATCAAAGGCAAAAATACTTTTATTCTGAGGTTTTCTTCGGTTATATCTTGTCTTTTGTCTCTATCTAAATCACCAAAAAAATGTTTTGAATATATTCAACGCCGTTGATTATTATTTACAGCTATTCCCCAACTATTACACAAATCTGTTGCTGAAGTAACCAGTTCTTCATATTTCTCTCTCAAATTTTGAATTATTGCAATAGCCGATTGTAAACACTCACAAGCATTATGAAGGTTAGAATCAATTGATTGTAATTTTTTAGATACCACATAAAATGGTCTTAAAATTTGTTCCCATATAGTGAGTATTAGCAAAAACTCAAAAGATTCTAACTTCTTTTTTAGACCTTTAGCTCTATTAATTTCTTCTTTCTTGTCACTTGTTAGCATTATATTTGTTAAAGATTTTAAAACATCTCTGTAACGATACTTGAGAGCAAAAACTGCGTTATGTCGAGATTCCCACCTCGTTGTACATACTTTTTTTAAGACTGTTTTTGCTACATCATCACCTAACGCCAGAGAAGCCCATCTAGGGGCACTTTTACTAAAGAATAAAAATATATCTTGAAGGATATCAAAAAAAATTAACATTTTTAATGAACTTTTGACCACAGCTGACAAAACAAGATTCAAATTATGTGCAGCACAATGCACGTATGATGCATTTGGAATTATATCAGAAATTCTTTTTTGAACCCCTGTGTAGCCACCACTCATTACCGAAGCACCATCATATCCTACATTTGTTTATATCCAAATTATAATTCTTTAAAATAGATATTATTAAATTTACATGATCTTCAGCACCATGTTTATGAAGGGGGTAAAATCCTAGAAAATACTCTTTACAATATAACTTTTGTTCTCTATAATCAATTACTACATATCTAATAATAATGCTAACTTGATTAATCTTCGTGATATCTTGTGTTGAATCAACTATTATGGAGAAACATGGAGCAGATCTGATTTCCTCACAAATTAAAGTAATTAAGTTTGTTGATAGTAATTCAATTAGTTCATTTTGAATTTTCCAACTCAGATATTTAATTTGTGTTTTTTCAGTGTAAAGTAAATTATGTAATAGTGGATCAAATTCAGCCATTAGTCTTACTGATCGGATAAAATTGCCTTCGTTCATACTTGTAGAAGTTGATTTCCCTTCATTACCACGGAGGGCTGTATTACCAGCTGTTAAAAATAAAATTATTTTAATTAACCTAGTTAAAATATCTCTCCATTTCTGAGCTTCTTGGGATATTTGATCTTCTATTGAGTGATCAATTGTTTGATTTTTTACCCAGATTGTGCGTAATTTAACAGCGTCAATGTGCTGAATAGAAATCTCATGTTTATTAATTTTTTGCGATAAATGTCGCCAATCATTTATTCCTGTTATCCAGTTTGATTTAAAATAAGGATGTGTTCTATCAGAAAACAACCAACAAGATTCGCAGTATGCTTTATCAAGTATAACAGAGTAGCAAAACTAAGATCTGGGAATTTTATGGCCAGCTAAATTTGTTTTAAAATAATATTCAACAGAAAATTTTCGACACCTTTTGTTTTCATTATCATGACATGGTGTAGAATCTAGTGGAAATTTAATATTTGGTTTGCAAGGCCCAAATGAAATAATCTGTCTTTTTAAATTAGAATTATTTATGACATCTGGAAACTTTCCACGATCTGAAGGAAATTCACTATTTAGATCCATTTCAATATCTGAAAATGCATTGTTATTTTGTTATTTAAAGTTAAGTAACTGTGAATTTATTCAATATAATGTTTGTTGACTTTTCATTGTTATTAAATATTAATGTTATGATTACCTTACTAACATAACAAATATAATCATATTTGCAGAATCTTTAATTTTTTCATTTCATTATTTACTGATGTCCATTAAATAAATAAATTTAAATAATTTATAGAAATCTAGTTAAATTACTAAGTAATAATACCTCAAAGAATATCTATTTCTAACATATTTTATAGATGTACTATTAAATTACACAAAATATTTATATTTTTAACCGAACTCTATCCAGATAGGTAAAATCAGTACAACTCAAATAAAGCAAATTTATTACACGTCTACTTTTTGTTAATATTATTTAAATTAACTTACCAAAATTTAATGATTTTATGTTTTCAATTTCATTTCTTTGAGGTTATAAAATAATGTCATTTACCGTTTCACTTGCTTCAGCTTCATCTATTATATTTTTAATTGTCTTGACAAATGATTTATTTTCTAAACATATTAATAAATATTTTCACTTATTTAACACTTAAATTCTGTTCAATTTTAAATCGAATAATTGTATTTATTTATGCATTATGATTTAGACGTTGCTTGTTAAAAAAATTTCAACTTTCAAGTCTTTATCACCATTTACTATTATTTTTAGAGCTATGACCAGGGTCCAGGGCTCGGGAATTTATGCATTTGCATATTTGTTTAGGAAGTAAATAGAATAAATCTGATCGGGTACAAATTTATGTTGTGGTGTTCGGAGTTAATATTTAAAAGTTTATTGTGCATATGTTTGCATATTTTGGAATTTTTTTTACAAATGCATATTTTTTAGATTTATTGATTTTTATTGCATATTTTAAGATACTTATTTTAATTTTTAACCCATATTTACCTGAAGTAACTGATGTTTTTCGAAGAAATTTAGTCATTGAACCTCTCATTAAATCCAAACCGGCGGCTCTTTGTTCTTTTGCCTTGCGTTTAGCAAAACCACTTCCATACACTCTTCGTGTCGACATAATAATTATAAAAAAAATATATTGACTACTTAAAAATACTTCACGATTTTGGTAAATAGCAAGTAGGTAATATTATACTAATATATAAAATTATAAATTACAACAAACACGCACGACAGGCCACAGGAACAACCGCACAACTAAATCACTAATCAGTAAATACTAATGGTTTCAAGATTTAACACTCAAAAACCGAGACTGTAAACACATAATAATAATGGAAATTCCCATTTGTCATCATGTAATATAAAACATTATAATCAATAATATTATATTAATATAATATAATACTGCATAGTATATGTAATATATACTTTGTGTGTATGAGTGTTATTTTTGTTATCGATAGAAATTATATGGGGTTTTCTAAAAATAATTCAAAATTAATATCAAATTATTCGAGCTCCTTCCCACCAACCATCACGTCTACTGTTAACTGCAGCAGGCAATAAGGTTACCAAACAACCTTTATAAATATAAAATTAAAATTACAAAATACAATATAAATTATAGACACACAAATACTGAAAATTATTATTATTATTATTATTATTATTACCTAATGTGACTAAATCACTATAAATGTAAGATCGTTATAGTGTCATACTATTAATTATTATACTATAATATGTACAGGAAATGAGAATTTTTATTATTTTTATTTTCCTTATAACTATTATTCTTTACTGCCTACTCTCAAATTTACACTTAAATCTTCTTTAAATTTCGGGGCCCTAATTTATTATAAACTGAGGTCTCTTGGTGGTGCTAGGCACCCCCGGTCCCCCCGCTAGTTGCGGCACTGTCCATATCTCTACCTTAACTAATCTCAGTTCCAAATCACCTCACTTTTTTTTTCGTACATTTTAATATCCTAATTCTATTTTCAAAAACATACCAATGGATTTAATCAATATTTTACAATGGAATGTCCGTAGCCTCCCAGCCCGATTTCCCTCCATTCAGAAACTCCTGTCTGACTCTAAATGCTCCATAGCATTATTATCCGAGACCTGGTTTCTCCCAACCAGGAATTTTCAAATTCCACACTTCAATCTTTTTAGAGCCGACCGTGCTGACGGTTATGGTGGCTCTGCAATTATGACACATGTCTCACTTAACGTCCGCGTAATAGATATTAATGCAACCCTCAAGCAATCTTTTTCCAATCATAAAATAGATATCATTGGTATCGAAGTTCTGAATCTCAAAAATCTCCCCATCATTTCTTTCTGGTCATGCTACATCCCCAATGATTCCAATATTTCCTTAGCACTGTGGGAATCCTTATTCCAACTTACCAGCAACAATAGTTTCATCGTAGGTGATTTTAACGCCCATCATCCCGCGTGGGTTTCATCCTTCGCTTCCAGGCGTGGCAACATGATCTACAATACCATCAACACAGGCTCCGCCACCCACCTAGGTAGACCAAACTGTCCCAATTCTTCTATAGACATTTCTTTCTGTTCTCCTAATCTAATGTGGTACTCATCCTGGTCAACCCAGTTTGACCCTCAAGGTAGTGACCACTTCCCTATACTTATCTCTCTATCCACAAACGGTAACACCGCCTCCAATATTCCCAGATCTTCCACTCCAATCGACGTAACTTCTCCATCTACACCCAAGGTATTCAATCTTAATAGAGTCGGTTGGAACTTATTTTCCGACTTAATTAACCACAACATTACGCATATTGATGACTCATTGAGCCCAATCGAAGCTTACAACTTGTTTATCCAAATAATTTTAGACTCCGCCAATCAGTCTATCCAACGCAAACATATTAACAACAATCTCTATCCTCCTTCTCCTCCATGGTGGGACTCCACTTGCAGCCAAGCAGTCAAAAATCGCAATAAGCTATTTCAAATATACCGCCGCTCTGGCGCCATTCAAGACTTTTACAGATATAATAACGCTTGTTCCCATACCACTCGATTACTTAAATCTAAGAAATCGAACGCCTGGAAATTATTTTGTAACGACCTCAATCCTTCCTCATCCATCACGTCGCTGTGGAAAACTTCCAAACGTTTTCGGAATTGCATTCACCCTCTCACCCGCCCACATAATGATGTAAGGTTTAATGATTTCTGTTCAAAAGTCGCACCCTGCTATGTTCCCTCGGAATCTGAAACCATCTCCAATCTTGCAGTCAACCATTCACACCCGCCTTCTTCTCATTGTCTAAGTTTACCGCTAACTATTAGCGAACTTAAGACTGCAATTTCTTCGCGTAAATCCGTTGCCTCTGGCATCGATTGTATATCCCCTCTTATGTTAAAACACCTACCCACCAATGCATTAGAAATTTTACTCAAAATACTTAATAACTTAATTGATTCTAATACAATTCCCTTATCCTGGACCGAATACAAGGTAATTCCTATTCTAAAAGCTCATTCGAATAATTCATTCCGCCCGATTGTTTTATCTTCTTCGCTCTGTAAAGTTGTCGAACACATTTTTAAAAATAGACTAGACTGGTGGTTAGAGTCTAACTCTATCCTTCCTGACAATCTGTACGCTTTCAGACGAGGTAGGGGCACCACAGACTGCCTTGCCAACTTTATTGGTGACATTTATCAGTCTTTCAATAATAGAGATTACCTTGTTGCCACCTTTATCGATATTCGAGGCGCCTTTGACACCGTAATTATTCCTCTTTTAATCTCCAACCTAATTGAATTAAATCTCCCACTCTCCTTCACTAATTTTATTTTTCGTCTTTTCTCTCATAGGACTTTACATTTTCTCTCCCCCTTTGGCACTACCAATACACGTACGACTACAACCGGTCTTCCACAAGGCAGCTGCCTGAGCCCAATTCTATTTAATATTTACATGTGCTTTATTGCCAATCGCCTTATTTCTCCCAGTCACAACTGTCTTATGTACGCCGACGATATAGTCATTTATTCCCACAACAGACAAATCAATCTTGCTATCGCCTCCCTTAACGATGCATTATGTTCTTTACATAATATTCTATCCTCTTCCTTCTTCTCAATAGCTCCTGAAAAATGTAAGTCCTTAATTTTCCCCAGACGGCGTTACCTTCAATGTGACGCCACTACAATAGATGGTTACATAATCCCCTATGTTCCAAATCATACAAATTTAGGTCTAAATATGGACCCTAAACTTCGTTGGTCTCCTCATCTTAATGATTTAACTATTTTTGCCACCAGTTGGTCAAACTTTCTCAGATTCGTGTCTAATACTTGGTGGGGTTCCCACCCTTCTACCCTTATACTTATTTACAAATCCGTCATACGCGCGAAGTTTGATTACTGCTGTTTCTTTTCTGGCTCTTCTGCTCTAGCGCACCTTAATAAACTTAATAAATTACAAATCTCTTGTCTAAGATCCATTATTGGTGCCCTAAGGTCCACTCCTTCCCCCGCTATTGAAGTCGAAACATCTTGCCAACCACTCCATATAAGAACCAAATGGCTTGCCGGTAAATTCTTACTCAAACAATTAGCAAATGAAGAATCCTATATTTTTAATTCCTTCCTTGAGGTTTATTACTTTTGGCGATACGTCCAAAAGACTCTCCCAGTTCTCGCCTTAATAGCGTATTCACTTGCAGCCACGCGCAATTATATCATTCAATCTAATAAACTTCCACAATATGAAACCAATTTCCAATCCTTAATTTTTTCCCCCATCACTCACATATTTAATAACTTTCCATCTCACTCACGATCCCTCCTAATTTCCGTTCCACCTAATTTTTTTGAACAATATCTTTCTCGATTTCATCCATAACACCTTCCCGCTCTTCATCCTAATTTTCACGGACGGCTCTGTCTCTCCCTTATCAGCTGGATATTCCTTTTATATTCCGGAACTTCACATTTCTTTCTCCAATAATCTACCTCCCACTTCATCTTCTTTCACAGCTGAATGCTTCGCTATAATTGAAGCACTCAATACAATCTCATATTTACCTCCAAATAAATATCTCGTCGCCACTGACTCTCTGTCCTGTCTCCAAGCTCTCTCCTCTAATGTTTTCAATTCACATCCCTCTCCTCTCATTCTCGCTATTAGACATATTTTATCATCCCTTTCGGAATTTGGCTCGGACATTCAATTCATATGGGTACCAGGCCACTCTGGAATTGCAGGAAACAAACTCGCTGACAAGCTAGCAAAATCCTCTGCCTCCCTCAGATGTCCTTCAAGTACGAAAATTCCATGGTCTGATTTTATCCCCATCCTTAGATCCAGTACATCCAATCTTTGGCTTAGGCACTGGAGTTCACTCCCTCCTCACTTCGCCACCTGGTACAGAAATATATCTCCTACCATACCTACAACACCATGGTTTCACAACCTCAACATTTCTCGGAAATACATAACATCGTTCTCCCGCCTCCGGTTTGGACATACCCGACTTCCTTCTCATTCCTTTAAACTGTCACTGAACTATTCCCCTCTCTGCACTCTACACTATGACCCTAAGGTCTGTGATATTAACCATCTTCTCTTCATCTGCCCCAGCTTATCAACACATCGTGACCACCTACTATCTATTTTGAACACCTCCAACATCCCTTTCGATACTATAAATTTATTTTCCAATAAACAAAAAAACATCATATTAAACATATTATCTTTCTTTAACCATTCAGGCTTTTTAATCTAAATTCATATTGTACTATTCTAATGTTTTTGTAACAGTAATTGTACTTTAATTATAATTGTTGAAACTAATTGTATATACAAAGTTTAAATAAAAAAATAGAAATAAAAAAAAATAAACATTTATTCGATTTGGTTGACCCTTGAAAATATTTCCTTGTAAAAAAAATACTGGCTTTCACCTCCTAATTATAACACTATTGACCAGTTATTAATATTCATATTGAATGCTTGATTATTAAATTTAGTTACCTAATTTAAATAAACAAAAATAATATTATCTGCATTAAAGACAATTTTACAAATTTAATTGTACAACTATTAGCAATAGGTGGTTATTTGTTAAAACCATCATTAGGTTTACATTATGATATAACACTATTACTTTTAAAACTTGAATGCAAGTGGCATTGGATAAACTTAGATCAGAATATGAAGTGCTTTTCTAAAACACTTCATAAATGTATGAATAAGGTAATTAATAACTGAACAAACAAGGAAAGTTAATTTATTATTAAGGGTATATTTATATTTAAGCTATAACTTATAAGCTATCTGTAATTCAAATATTCATCCCAAAAAATGATTTTTTCATAAAATATAGGCGATTACTTATGTACTATATGGGTAATATCCAATATTATATTTTTATTATAACAATGATAATTATTACTGTTATATTATAATAATTAATTAAATTAAAACTAATTTTAAGTTAATATTATTATTATATGATTATTGTTTTAGATTTCCAATTTAAATAACTTTCTTAGTGCATAATTTCTTATGTTTCCAGATGCAATTATAAATATAATTTCATTGTGTCAGCTATATCAGCTAATTATATTGGTTCCTAGGTATCTGAAGTTAATTATCTGCTAGAATATAAATCCATTAACTTGTAAATCAGCTTAGTCTCTAACTGCTTTATTAACTGCTTGGTATTTTATCTATTATTGATTAACTCTTAAATCTATCGCTGTTTTTAGCGAGTCTTTAGATTTTATTTCCAATTAATTTTGAGAATGGCGTTTTATGAAAATGTCCTTATAATAACACGGTGTTCCATTCTAAGATATCATCTAAATTTTCAAGAGGTAAATAAATAAATAAGGGTTGTAAAGGATTCCACACACAGAAACATATTGATGAAGCAATAAACTTTCAATAGGGTCTGAAATGGTCATAAAAAACAGAAAAAATAGCTACAAATCCACTTAAGAAATTTGGTATGAAGAAAAAATTACAAAATAAATTTAAGAGGATAATATTTTAAATTGAATAATTTATAAATATTTTAAATTGTTGACTTATTTTGCTTTTTTCTCATTTATATAAAAAAGTTATTATTCAATATAATGTAATCATAAGTTATTCTAATTGCAAAAATATTACAAGTATAATCAAGGGTTTTTTTTTTAAGCGTTTGAAGTTTAACCTTTATAGAAAAAAGTTTTAAAATAACAAAAATATTTAAATATTAATCGGTTTAAAATACATTTAACTTAATTTTAATATTCTAAGCTTTGTAAATTTAGTACAAAAAAAAAATTATTATTGTATTTTGGGTATATTTTAATGGTTGTAAGAACATCTTATAAATATCCTTATATACAGCGTGATTCCTTTTAAAGTTAACATTAAATAATTCTATCCATTGACACTGGATTGAGGTGGGATGTTTTTAAATAGTTAGGGACTATTGAAAAAAACATATTACAATTAATAAGAAAAATCCTAAAAAAAGTTAATATTGATAATAATGTCTGTAAATAGCTTAAAAAGATCCAGTATATTTTAAAAATTTATTTTGACAATAAAATAATAAAATAAATATTTTGTGAAAACTTCAAGTGTAGTGAAGAGGTTTTGTTTGTAAATTCTAGTTTTTCCTAATCTATTATTATTTCACCCGATTGTTTTGAAAAGCACTTAGAATTTTTTTTTTTTTATTCCCTAAAATACAAACTAGAATCATTTATCAACCATAAACCACCCTATTTAAGTGTTTTTATTCATTTAAAAAGTGATTAAAAAATATACACACATCATCGTAATGTAATACGATAAATACGTAATCGTCATACCATACATCATAATTATATGATGTCATAGACGTTATATTGATGTTGAACTCCATGACGGTGAAACACCACGTTTCGTTCTTACGTACTTATCGCTCTATCTATCTCTGTGCCCGTAAATTGATCGTTATTGCTATTATGAACATTTGTTTTTCTCATTAAATTGATTATTTCCGTCATTTGTTCTATAGTCGATTGTTTCTTCTCGACAATTCGTTCTTTTTCAGATATTTGTTCGCTGTTGACAAACGTTGACACCACTCAATAATAATAATAATAATGTTTGAACGCAATTGATGCAAACATAATATTTATGTTATTTCTCATACATGAATATAGTAGTTAGAAACGCACTTAGTCAAACACGTAAAAACAAAATGATCCATCTCACCATTTTTCAGAAATTTGTTTGTTGTACGTTTCTGTTAGTTGTAAGTTTTTAATATTTAATCTTTGTATTTCGTTTTTAAGATCCTCGATTTTTGATTCAAATTCTTCTCGAACAAACGTATTAATCCAACAACCAGCCCTAATTTCCCAATCTTTTATTACTTTTTTCAACTCGATACAGTCATTTTTTAAACGATTGATACTGTTGGTATAGTCCTGGTTTTCAAGTGTCTGTAAATTAAACAAAATTATATTTATTAAATTAAATTATAGTTATACACTGTATTCATTAAATGATTAAACAGAACATATGTTTCAATTTTTGAATTAAACGAATAATTTTAATGTAAATGTTTAATAAAAATATGATATTCATACCAGACGTTTGACTATCGATTCGAGTTCCAAAATTATTTCTTCCCTAAAATTAACATATTATACATTTAATTTATTAAATTATCAATGCTTTAATAATATACTATTAAAATAATTAATCTTACTTGAGTCTTATTTGTTTTTGTTGTTTAATATTTAAATCAGATTTTTCACTTAATAGCAAAGAACGTTGCACAAATTCGGATCTCTTTTGTCCGACATCGGCTCTCAATTCAAGCAGTTTTTGATTAGTTTTTTTATATCTATAATAATGTATGTTTATATATAATATTATTATCGTTAGTCGATATTTTACTTATTTCCAAGTACAATTATTTCTTCTTGAAACAAATCCTTCTCCCTAGAAACTTCGATAAAATTATTTTTTAACTTGTTTCTCTCATTGAACAATTTTTCAATTCTCATGGTTTTTTCAGAGTCTGTCTTCTCTAAATCATCTACTTTTTTATTTAAAATATCTATTTTTGAATTTAATGCCAAGCTTTGTTTAGACATGGTCAATAAGTCTTCATTTTTTACACTTAAATCGTGTTTTGTTTTTTTCAATTCCAAATCCAATAATGATTTTTCGCAGGTCATATTTTTTAAACTCGCTTCTAATCGATCTATGCTAATTTCTAATTGTTCTAAACTAATTCCACATGTCTGAATTTCTTTATCATCTTTATCTTTATTCAATTGCTCTTGAAGAGATTCTGTCATTTGTTTACTCTTTTCCAATTCAACCATTATGCCCTTGTGTTTCTCTTCTAGTTCTTTAAATAATGTCTGGTAGCTTTTTTTTGTCTTTAAAATAAAAATAAAATACTTAAGCATGTATTGTCTGAGTACAATATGTTTAAATACGTAACATGAATTTTTTAAATTACTAAAAATTAATTTATTTTTTATTAACTAAAAACTAATGCACTATACATACTTACCAAATTATCAGCTCTGTCAATGAAACGTTTTCTAAGTTCGCTTTGGGACGAACGTGGAATCAATAATGTTCGCGGATGATCTGATCTCTGAATTTTATTGTATTTATTACTAATAAACGAATTTTGTGACATGGTACAAATATAACTTTTTTCTTCTGTGTACGTATTTTTTTTCTTTGTTAATATTTTAATTGTAGGTTTGATCGGGGTAGACACCTGTTCTAAAATGACAGTGCAATGTTAATTCAATTTTAAATCGCCTATAGGTACTCACTTTTGACTGACGAAATGGGCCTAGTTTTATTTTTAGTAATGCGATCAGGCACCATGTTGTTTTAAAATTTTTGTTCTGCAAATATTGACGAAATAAAACTTAACTAAATTTTAATAAAATTACGCATTAACTCAATACATGTGCAACAAATAATTAAAATGTGCCAAATAAATATTCAATTTTAAACTGTTATAATATTTTACTATGGTAATGTAATATTCAATATCGTTTTCTTGCTAATTTATAATAAATAACTAATAAAAAAACATACCTATTTTTCCAAACATTTTTGGTGGATTTTAAAATAATTACATTTTTTTTTTTTTACAATATTGTTTGTTTCATATTTTTAAAATAGACACGAATCACACGGGAGTGAAATTAAACTTTGAGTCGTTTATATTAATATATCATAATTTAGCTAATAGCTACCTATCGCTCTATAGATATTATTATCTATGTATTTATTAGTTTGAACGTTTCTAAATCAAGTAAAAATGTTGATATAACGCATTGCAATTAAAGCACTCGATATATGCGACTAATTACCAACAATATGTTAATGCATTTATTATTATATTTTTTATTACTCACAGTTAAAAATTGCTTACTAATTCAACTTAAATGTGACTGGATTTAATCTCTTTTAATCAATAGGTTATGAGCCCTGCAGTATAGCTAAACAGTGAGGCGTTAAGTGTTTTTAAAAAACAATTAAATTTAATATAGTCAAAGTGAGGGAGTCATTTATGTGAAATGCAGAAAAAGTTTTTTTTTTTTTTATCAATAATAGTAATCATAATAACTTATTTTTATAATGTACAGATAGTGTGTAGATAATTCATTATTACGGATAAAGAATCTATAAAAATTAAAAAATTGAATAATGGCAATGAAAATTAGGAAATTTTAAATGAAAGTGATATAGATGCAACCGATATATTTATCGTTTTATTTGGAAAATTGAAGAAACACGTTCTTACGAAATTAAATACAGAAATTTAAGATGATATAAGAAAGAAGTATGGCATTGATTTTTCAATAGGTACTTTAAAAAGCGGATAACAGGGTTCAAAAGTATAAAGTCACCTTGGAGGATAAACAATCATTACAATACATAACGAATTGTAATACAACTAGAGTGATGTGAGACAAATTGTTTAGCGCAGTGTTTCTCAACCCATGGTATGCACACCACTAGTGGTACGCCGAAAGCTCAAAGGTGGTACGTGAAAGAAAAATAAATATTTATCATGAAATAAAATATTATTGTATACATAAAATATTATTTCGTTTATTTGATAACTAAACCAAATAACCGGTTTTACTCACATTTAAAGATAGACATTTAAATAAACGATAATCTCTATATTGTTGTAATAATGCTTGGTCGATTTATGTTTTAAGAAATTGTAGGTACATATTTAATTTTACTTTTGTTCAATATATGTTAATATTCTATTCATTTTTATAAGCAAAATGAAAAAATAGAGTTTTCTAAATTAGTGATACGTGAACATTTCCAAGATGTGTAGGTGGTACGCGGACGTTAAAAGGTTGAAGATCATTGACTTAGGGTATATAAACATAAGTCAGATTCTAAACTTTTAAATCTAGACCTAACACCTAACTTACAGTATTTATGAGTTTTTTTATTGTTCTTTGAGTTTATCTTTACTTTTTGCCATCAAGACTATGTCGTCTGTGTATGTTAAAATGCCAATCTTATTTACTTCTAATTTTAAAACTTTCTTATTTAGAGTTACTTCTTTTACTACTTTTTCTAAGGCTACCTAGCTCAAAACTTCCATCGATCAGTTTCCCCCGTTACCTTTTTGTTACTTATGTAATGAGCAGTTGACTCTTGTAATAATTATGTATTTATTGTATATTATTTGTATATTTCTTAATTAGAAAACTGATCATCTCCAGTGAGTTCACTGTTATACACATATGTTTAAATAGTGTATTAAATTAATAATCTATATGTGTTCCTAATTTAATTTACCATATTCTTGTAGCTATTTTAGCTTATCTAGTGTTAGGCGCGAGTCACAAGTGTCAACCTTGGTGTAAGAGCGGTTGTGACGAAAAAAAATGGATTAATTATAAGCTGACTAATTATTAATTATTAGTATATATTTCAATACTTCAATATTTTTATTTAATTAATAATAAATTCACCACATACCTTCCAAGTGCTTTTGTAAACAAATTAAAATACGATAAGTTGAACTGTAGAAATTAAAACTTAGTGGATAGCAAGAAGTTCTAATCCAAAAGGGACAAAAATGTTGTGTTAGTAAGTATCATTAGAACAATTGGTGCAAATAGTTTTTAAGATATTGGAGGGTAGCTAAAGCTCTACTACATATATAATAATATTGAATAAGCTTAAAAAGCTTTTTTGGGGAGCTATTGAAATTTTTAAGAAGTTTAGCTCCTAAAGTATATGATTAAAACAGTTAGATTAAGAATTTTAACTTATTAGTTAGTACCTAGGTAAGTACTTCTTTCCATTGAGTATCGTTTTTATTGGGTTTAGAATAATTTATTTTTATATCAAACCAAACTAATTTGTAAACGTTTTGACACATCAAGAATATCATCGAATATGATACTAAAATAATCACTACCTTTTTTACTTTTCGAGAGAATATAATTTATATTTGCTTTACTACAACATTCAATAATTTCATTATGTATTATTTTATTTGTGTATGTGACCTTTGAAGAAGTGTTTTGAAAATAGTTTTAAAGAACATTCTCATTTATCTTAACATAAAACTTAAATAGATTTCTAAAATTTCCTTCATTTAAATAAACACTTTGGTTATTGGTATTAATTGAATTTGCTATTAATAATATATTGTCATCTCTGTTTTCTCGAAACGAAATGTTTTAGGCAAAGGTGGGCATGAACTAGTTAAAAAGTTAAAAAAAATTAACTTTTTAACTTAACTAGTTAATTTATTTTCTAATCAATTTATGAACTTCAGGAGTTTAATTGACAGTTGAAATAACTTAGCTTTTTACATTTGATATTAGAAATTTTTTTAGTAAAATAATGAATAATAAATTTTATTGTTTTAATGTTTTATGATCTTCAATTGCTCTATTATATGAAAAATAATATTTGTTAAATTATTAATTTGAGATGTGAATACCTATTTCAAATTAATAAATTATATATTATACAACGTAAAAGGGTATTAATACTGTACATTGTGCATTAAGGTAAGTTAGTATTTTTTTTTTATATTAAATGTTAACTTATCGAGTTAAATTTATAATTTGTTAACGGTTAACTTCTAATTTTTCGATCTTGTGCTCTTTCAACTTAACTAAACTCGAGTTAAATATTTTCATTAACTTGCCCACTTTTGTTTTAGGTATATGCCTAAAAATATTATACTTTCGACTATTGAAATAAGGCCCATTCTTTCTCATTGGATTCTACCAAATGTTTAATATTAATTAAATTATGTCTTTCTAATTTGAGATTATGATAAGTCATCAAAAAACTTTTACCAAATTCTATAGATTCCTTGTGGCACTGCACTGTGTTTTTCATGATGAATTAAATCAACTATTTCGCTTCTAAACATTTTTGCAAATAAATGGCTGGGTCACAAATTTTAGTAAATTTACGTTTTTTTTTTTTTTAAACCACATTTATGTTGGTTATTAAAAATTGGACAATATTTAAAGAATAATTCCTGCATTAGTTTTAAATTTTAGTGTTGCTGGCCAAAATCAGAATACGACCGTGTTTCGTGTGTACTGTGCGTTGTACGGGGTATGTATTATTTATTATTCGACAATATTGTGAAAGAAACATTTTTTAAATTGACTATTAGAATTTTACGCGAGTGCCTTTTTTATTTTATTCTCGTAACCAAACCGTAACATTGAGCATTATGACTGGTAAGCGGATCGCTGGAGAACGAACGACGATGAAAAATCTGCAGTCAGAGCGATGCGTATCTCCGAGAAGACGCGAAAACGTCTCTAACGGTTCGAAAGACGGTTCAGTACACGTCGCTGGACGGTCGACCAGTGGCGTCGGCGGTGTAACGATTATGAAACGAGGTCGCCGGACGCGCATTGGCCGTCGGTCGAAGAGTCGCCGAAGACGTAGCCGGTCACGGTCTGGTCGTCGACACATGAGGAGACGTAGCGTTGGTAGTACCGCGGAGAACGCCAAAGACGACGACGCGACCACGGACGCCGAGGGAGATGACGACGATTTGTCGACGGTCGACGCGATGTCTCGGCGAAAGCGGGTAAGGAGACAACGAAGGGGACGAAATGGCAGGCAACGGCGTCGTCGACAATATCAGTCCGGTGGTGGTGACGACGACGACGATAACAATTACACCGATGCAGAAATCACTGACGAAGAAACCATCGAAGATGCTTCGTCGTCCAGCGACGGCGGCGCGGCTAGCAGTGTCCTCACGATGGCTGCCAGAAATTGCTGGAATCCTTTTAGCAGCGCCCGCAAGAGGAGGAGGTCCAAGAGCAGACGGTCTATGAGGTGCAAGAGGAAAATGAGGAGGAGGAGGAGGAGCAGCAGCAGCAGCAGGTCTAGACGGTCTGTAGGGTGCAGGAGGAAAAAAAAGAAAAGCAGTGGTCGCTGCAATATTTTCTCGCTCCGAGAACCCACTGTCGATGAAACGTCGGATGACTTGCAGCCTGAGACGAGTGGAACAGGCCATAGGAGCACCGATCCTGATGCGGTCTCTAGGACTCGGCGAGACGCCAGGAAATCGAGCTCGGCGTCCCGTTCCGACTACACATAAACACATAAACGTGGCTCGCCACGTCGTTTTTATAGCGTTCAGACGAAATTTATATATTTTATTTCAAAATCAATTTAATCAAAAATAAATAATATCGGTAAAACAACAATACCGATGTACCTTTGTTTCTACGCCGGAGTTATAAATATTTAGGATCGAATCTAACAATATTTATATACGGAAAAAGCAATAAATTAAGCCAATAAATGTCATTAAAACAATTGAAACACATTTCAAACATTTTACAATAGTAATTTCATTAACTTCGATTACCTACGACTTTTTTTCATATTTTTATACCTACTTATCCTGCATAGTACTTATGTAAAAACATATTTTAACAATACTGAATAATCAATCCATAAAACCCATGATGTAATTTTTCTAATATCAGTTGATTTATAAATATTTAATTCACTTACATTTATATCATATTTTAAATATACTAATCTATAATTGTTGAAAAGATTGCTATTATAACTTATTTAAAATCTCTAAAAATAAAAATAATTCAATAGTTTTACTTAACAACACTTTTACGAACTAAACGTATAGTAAAATAAAATAAAACAGCCCTCAGTAATAAAAACTTTATTTTTTAACTTTTATTTAAGCCTAACAATTTCTTTTTCAAAATGTATTTAGTATAGTTATATAGTTATCTAGTTAAAAATGTTTAACGATACTTCTAGTAAATTTGACCTTAAGATTTAGATGAAACCAAATTTGCGTTTAACAGTTTCAATTTGTGTTAGTTATTGTAAAATAGATTTAAATAGCCTATTATCAAAGTTAAATGTAAGAAACTAATTTAATTAAATTTTTTATTCTTAAATATTCAAACTGAGTATGCGAAATATTACAATTTAAAAATGCTTATATCTCGCTTTAAAAAATCGAAAAATATTATTAATTATCATAAAAATATTAATCTAAAACAATATTTTATTTATTTTATATTAATAATTGAATTAATTGTTGAATTTGAATTTTTTTTTAATAATAATATACAATTTTTTATTATTAAGTATACATTTTCAAACCTAATAAAATTGAGAATAAATATAGATTTTAATCTATTATTCACTAATAGTTTTATATAATTCAAATTTAACTTGGCGTTGCTGTAACGTATCTAGATTTATACATATTTAAAGTATCTAAAAAAAAAAACGAATCTGTTTCTATATCCTAATACTAATTGTAACTTTTCTTAAATTTTACGCATAGCCACATTATTGTATGCAGTCATTTGAATACATTTTTTATAGGTAATCAAATTTTGGTATATTAACAGAACCTCTTTATTGATTTATTTGTTGCTTTATCAGTCTAAATCTTGTCTTGCTTAGATAACACCATTTTTTGCTAATTTATTATTCACAATTAACTATTCATTTTAATAACTTAAAAGAACTTAAGATTTTGTATTATGCATGAAAAACTATATTTAAAATTTTAAAGTATATTTTGTTATGGGAATAAAATATAAAGAATATTAACTCGGTAGATTCAACTTTAAACACTATCGCACAGATAAGGGCAGTTACCATGAACGTTGAAACAAAATTACAATCATAAGCTTATTGTATAATTTTTTTTATGTTAACTTTCATATTACTTTTTATTTATAATTGTTGATTTCATACTAAATCTCATTATATTTTAAATCAGAATAATTGAATAGTTTTAAATTAGTTAATAAGATTCAATGATATTGTTGACCAATTGAATAAAATGTAATTTAATTGCTATATCAATCACATAGGTAATAAGTTTTTGTGTAAATGGAAATAACACACGTTCTGAATACAAATTGAATATAGAACGTTTTGGAAAAAAGTAATAATTTAGGTTTATTTTTAGGTAGAGCGTATGTTTTAATAAAAAATAGCGGTTTCAATCGATTTTTATTCAATTTTCTATAAAATTTTTGGCATAATTCTTTAATATTAGAAACATGTGTATTTTTTACATGAAATAATAATTATTTCTGCTTTATAATTTATCATCAAATAAAATATGTCCTATTAAATTATTCGAAGTAATATTGTGAAAGAGTTGTTATTTAATAGTCATACCAAAAGAATTTAGATACTATCTAAAGAAAATTTTTTAACTTAAAATTCAAAATCAATTATTCTTAAAGATGACAATGAAATGATTGTATTATTATTAAAGAATATTATGATTATTAAAACAGTTATATTTTTTTTAGTATACTATGGAACATTAATTTTTATATTCAGTTGATATCACAAATTTTTAATTTAAAGTGAAGATACTCATTAATTTTGATATATTTTTGTTATTTTAGTATTAAAGATTTATACTTGTACTATATTTCCTAACTTGATTGGATTGTTTGCAATAGGAAATTACTATTCCTGAAAAAAATAGTTTTTTTTTTGGGAACAACACGTTTTGCATAGAAACACTCAAGTTAAAAATTAAAAAATGCAAACTTTTATTTACTAAATAATTATTGATAAGTTGTAAATATTTTACAATTGAATTAAGAAAGAATTCACTTTATGAATTATAACTACACGGATTATACAATTGTATACAAAATAAACAAACTGTAAATGAATCATAATAAATATTTAAATAAAGGAGTATAGATTAAATTAATAATATATAGTTTAAATCCAATAAAAAAAGTTCTTTTGCTTCAGCTTATAATATTTAAAAAAATAATGAATTTGGGTCGCATAATAAAGAATCCAAATTGAAATCATTGTCAATGTCTTGATTGTCCTGTTGACTTCCAATAATCTCATCAATATCGATATCAGTTAAATCATCCATAATTAGATCAGCTAAAAATAATAATAATTAATATTTAAATGCTGAGAAATAAAACAAAATAATACTTTTAAAATATGTTATACAAATTGTGAAAAGATATTTAATTAAATCAACATGGTATAAGACTACAAGAGTCAGATAAGGAATGTTATAAATTAATTACTATTACAATAACTCATAAAAAAAAAAAAATTAATAAACTTTAGTACAACTTCTTAAAAGTAAAAATAATTAACTCCCAATTGAAAATGTTGTTTTGTGATATTCTAAACGTTTATAAATAGGTTAAGGTATTGATTTGAAATATGTTTTCTCTAATTATAAATGGATTATTTTTAAATATATCATATTCAAAAATAAAATTGTTAGAATTATATTAGATATCAGATTACTAAATTGATATTATGATAGCGTTATAAGTCTATCCAGTGTCCATCTGGTTCACGATTAGATCTGTAAAGTAGTTTTTAATGGGCCTCGAAACTACATACAAGTTTAAATTTAAAAAAAAGTCCAATAAACATGAGTTACATTCATTAAATAAGCTATAAATTATTATTAAAACAGCAGTTTTCTTAATTTGCTGCTAGAATATCTTAGCAAATTAGTAATATCATCTTTTTTTATAAATTGAATGGTGTTTTTTAACAAAGAGAAAATAATAGAAGATTAAAGATCTAGATACTGTTGACTTATTATAGGTTGAAATTTATTTTTAAAATTAAAAATTTGAAAACATTTATTCAAACCCAACTCGTATATACATACAGAAATTGTAAGAATATTATACTCACCAATACATAATGTCTCAAATGAATAATAAATTGTCGTTCAATCAAAAAGAATTTTAAATTTTAAATTAATAACCCATAAGTGATTTAAATTTGCTTATGAACCCCAAATACTATAAAAAAAAAAAAAAATACCTAAAGACTCTTAATAATCACAGGGTAGGCTAGGCAAGTAAAAGATATTTTTCATACATACATGGCACATCATAAATGTTTAAGTGTGTCAATAAATTTTTATAAAATATTTAACAGTTCATTTAAATTTTAAGCAAAATGTTTTCCAATGTCAGTTCATTTAAATATACTAAAATTTAATTTAATAAATTTAATTACGTTGTGCAGTAGTTTTAGTATTATTGATATCTTCAGTTTGTCTAGTCGCATTTAACATTTCAGCAGCTGTTATTTTTGTGCTTTTCGTCATTACATTTTTTCCAGTATTCTTTAAAAAATAAAACATAATAATAATTAATTGAATAGCTGAAAAACTAATAGTATACTATTACCAAATCAGTTCTGAGCCTATAATTTGCTTGTATGAAATTTGAACCATCCCGAGGAATTCTCAATCCACTAGCAGGCTTTATTGCAGGCAACGGTGTTTTGTTTAATTCATTACCTGCTTTAATTATTTCCTACAAATTGAACAACAAATTAAAATAATTTTTTATTTATACTTTATCGTTCAACTCTGTAATTCTCAACTTTTTTAAGTATATACAATAATTTTAACTACTAATAATGCACACACAATGCTTTAATCAGAGTTGAGCTAAGAACATGATTGCTTTACAACATTAGTGATAATTAACATAGCACTGGATATCAAAAATATCTAAAATCACTTATTTTAAAGCTTAAGCCATATTTGTAAGTAGAAAAGTCGAGAAATATAAAAGATGTCTACTCCATTTTTTTATCATAAATAACAAATTTAGTCTTAGAATAAATGTATATAATAATGCATTTAACTAGTATCATGAAAATCTCAAAATTAAATTGAATGTTTACAAAAATAACAACATTTAAACTAAATATGATTTTTAAATACTAAAACATTTTCAACAAATATAATATAAAATAATATATAATAAAAATAATAACATTAAATAAATATTTAAAACTATAATATATTATGTAACACAATATCATATACATAGTTAATAATATCTACAAATAAGCGTAATTTTAAATGTAATGAAAATTTTCATAATGTGACTAATGAAAAATGTATCTATTTAAATGTCATAATCTAATGAATGTTAAAATATTTTAGTAAATCTATATTTTTTGTCTTGTTAAAATTAAGTATTCATTTTATTATTACTCAAAGCATTATAATTAAAATAATAGCTCTGAATAGTTATCAAAATATGCACTACTATTAAGGTAATAACAATCAAATAATCAGATGAATTATACAAATTTCATCATGAATTATATTATTAGGTATATAATACATTTAAAATCTAATCGTCCTACAGATCAATTAAATTATAACACTTAATTTTACACAGGTAATTTAAAATAAATGTATACTTCAAGTTTATATACAACTATTTGGTTAAGTTATTTCATAATATCCAAAATATGAAATATTTTTTTTTTTTTTTAAGTTACAATTGTATAATTTTTGATAAATATAAATATTTGCTTAATATTATTTAACAGCTTTCAAATTAAAAAAATTTTAAGTGCTGAATTTTATAGTAATGTTGCGAATAAACGATGTTATAATTATTTTTTTCAATTGTTATATCCTTATTTTGACTCGATTAAATATATTTTTTTTTTAATTATTAATATATTTACAGCTTAGATATTTGTTTTTAATTTGTAGGTTTAATGTGAATAAATCAAACTTATCAGATGAGCTTAAGTATAGCTTACTAACATGTAACATAACCATCTTTCGTAACAAAAATTAAATCTTTTAAATTTACTAAGTATACATCATAACACATATATTATAATTATTATAGTTTATTTTTTCATGTTGCTAGTGGAAGAAATTACTATTAATAAAGAGTAAAATGACTGATATCATATAAATATTTGTTAAGAAATAGTTTATAGTTAACAAGAATCTAAGAATATAACAAATATTATATAACTTATGAATATTAACTAGTAATAAGAATTTTTGTTAGACTTAAGATTTAACTATCAAATAGAAATATACCAATAATTATATATTATCATTCAATCTATTTAAACAGTAAAAACAATCTATTTTTTTTATAAATGTTTATTATGAATTTAAGAAATTATGGTCAATTTAAATAAATGATATTGTGGTTTTGCAAACATTACTCTATCTCGCTACAATATTATGTTTGATTAGTTTGACATTGGTCAAGTCATTAGCTAGCAAAAATAGTTTTTAAATTGAGCGAATAATCACTAAAAGCTGCCACATTAGTATAATGTAAATATAAATACATACATATACATATAACATGTATACCTATAAAAATCTGTAAATACAAATAACATAAACATATGGTCTGTCTTTAGAATATAATGTGAATAAACTAACAGTGTCATTTAATAATGTTTCTTGAGCTCATACTTGAAACGCAGTCATCAGTTTTAAAATAAATTTAAAAACTTTTAAGATAAAAATTAATATAACATTACATCACGTGAAGGAAGTTTATTAAATACATTGTCTTGAGCCAATTGAATTGCCATTTTGACATCATCAACGTCAACTTCATCTTTATTAGCAAATGTTGAACAAGCTTTAGCATCTTCCAAAATGAGTGAAGTGTATCCTAATAAACACAACAAAAAATCTTTGTTGAAAAACAAACAGATACGTTTTTTTTCACTGTACGTACTGTAGTTAAATTCCAGCAAGTGGTTTAAAACTTGCTGTTCATATTCACGTATTCCCAAATCATTCATGATCGAAATAATTATTTGAGAATCTTTAGGCATGGAATTTCCTTGCGAAGACGACATTTTACTTTGTTTTCGCTGTTAAAAATAATAGTAAACTATTGGTTATTGAATAAATTGATATAGAACCTAATATAAAAAAAATTAAAAGATGAACTAGAACTCACAAAGTTACGAGAATTAAGACAAAAATCAAGACACGAAATCAACAGCAAAACGACGACTGATTGAAATGGTTAACCGTTTAACAATAAATAAATTATTAATTATATTTTATCATGGATTAAATAAATTGATAACAAAAAATTCAAACAGGGGTTCGCATAATATTATAACTAAGATGAGTCGAGTGTAATGCGCATGATTCGGTAACAGGATTTATGTCCTATGGCCACACCCTTCAGATCTTGTCGTTAACTTGTTATACGATTTTTACTGTTTGCACTTAGACATTGCTTTGCGTTAAATTCTGATGGGATTTGTAATTTATAATAATTTTCATCACATTTTATTATTATCAAATCATCATTACTTTTTACTATCAATTACATATTTCATAAACACAGTAACAAATATCGATAATTGATAAGTAATACGTGAACGAGACAGGGATATCCATTAATTTATCTTACATAGTGTGTAAATAAGTACCTATAGCAACGTGTTAGACCTTACGAGATTTGACATACCTACTTATATAATATAATATAGCACTGTGTTCTTCAACATTTTTGGACTCCGAACACAATTTTTTAGGTTTGTATTTTTCGTGACCGACGTATGCATTGTAGAAAAACAAAAAACAAAAATACAATAATTGTTATAAACTCCCATGTTAAAAGCACAAAATCTAAATTCTAAATAATTTTTATGATATCTTCGACCTAAACTGAGTATACCGAATAAACTGAGATTTCTTTCTTTTGCGAGGGTTTTCCTCCACGTTTGAAGTTGAAGGTACATTTGATAACATTGTTATGTCTTTATGTACATTATTTTGACTACTTTTCCAAATAACAAATTTATCCGTTTTATTTAATAAATTTACTTTGTTAAAAAAAAAAAATATAAACATAATTTTGACAAAATAAACAAAAAAATAAACTTTTATCTAAATACGACTAGTATAACGTGACTAACATTATTTATAATAGGTACTTCGTCTTTAGACCCTAGTTGCATTATGCATTTTGTCGGTGCGGGTGTGCATTTAATCGATCATTCCGCCCAGAGCCTAATCGGCAACCGCATACGAACCTTAAACTCAGCAACAATTTCGATTATGTTCATTGATTATGAAACTCTTTATCGATAACAATATGTATTATTTATAATAATAGCCCGGTTAACTCGTAAATTATTATGTTCAATGTCATAGATACTACTCATTTATTTCATCTATTAAATTAAATTTTTATTTTAAAAAAAAGACTTATCCTTAACGCGACCATTGATATAATATATGCATACTTAGTAGTGTAGTTATTGGTGGGGAGGGAGGAGGGGTGAAAGTGATAGATCCCCCTACTAGAGCTTTATTTTATGTTTAATGCATTGATGTATAGGTACTCAATGTATAAGATTGTTTGATTATAAAATTACCCATTTTATATTAAAATGATGGATACAATATGCAATATAAGGCTATAAGGGCATGGTGTAACGTGGTGTTTGGATTTTATGTTTATTACTAAAAAAACAAAAAAAACAAAATGATAACTACCTATACGCCACTTTTTATACTAATACATCATAATATGTAAACGTTATCCATATGATAATAAGTATGATACGGTTAACAAAAAATCAAAAATCACTACCAAGTATGAGGGTAACCAACGGAATATAAGGTCAAATAAGGTAATAGAACAAAATTGTTATTTTTTTTTATTTTGAATGATAAATGATGGAATTCCCTGTTATTGGTTTATTATGCACGTAGTATAATGGTTAATCAATACCATATATAACATTTTATAAATATTAAATACTATACGTACGTATTATAATTTATATTAAAGAAAGATAACTTAATGATAATTATTTGAATATTAAACACCAGTCCACTACCATTATTATACTTACCGTTTTACATATGTTGAACTAACCAGCTTCAATGTCATATAAAAAAAGAGCGACTTTAATATCTAAATTATTGAAATAAATGATTAGTATAAGTATATAATTTACAATAATAATTTATTTTTTTTAGTTTTCACTTTCTACTTGACTAATTTATAATTTTATCACGCCTGCATTAAAAGTTTAATTTTTAATAACGGTTTTAGCGTTTGACCATGATGAGTAATCAGTGGCGTATTTTAGTATTTCAGAATAGGGCTGACGCATATTTACCCCCCCCCCCTTCCCTCTCTACAACTGATCAAAAAAATCTTTTGTTATAATTATTTGTATAAAAGTCTCTTAAAAACTGCTAGGTAAACAATATAAATCATAGTGTACTGCTCATAAAACTTTAATTAACATAAAGTAAAATACAAATTTTTTCTCAGTTGTCAGTTAACACTTGATATAACTTGATATTAAAAACTTCGCAGTGTGTGTGAGGTACTGAGGTGATCTATTTTAATCAGAATATTACCATATTTAGTTATTATTATTAATACATATTTTTTATATTTATCTTCGTGTATGACAATAAACTAGTCACCAATGGGCGGTGACACCACACTGTGGTGAAACTATAAATTACTGATATAAAAATAATAACATAGTTAGTGGAAGGGAGGGAATGGAGTACACATTTGGTGAAAAAATATTAATGATTAACGTCAATGTTTAACTTATAAAATAATAAATTTTCATTTCTCATCTCTCTAAATCTTTAAAAATTTGTCGTTTATGCTACGGTACCCGTAGTCCCTATCTAAATACACCCTTAAACATGATATTATTCTGCTTAATTGTTTTTTTCCCCAAAAATATTGCGCTTGATTGATTTACCTAATTTCTTGCTCTTGCTACATAATATACTAAAGTCATTCGTTTTTAATTCACTACATTTAAATCAAAATCTGGTTTTAAATTCGCAAAAATAGCTTCTTCTATTACCTATCGCACCAACGATCGGACGCATCAAACAAAACAACATATAGATATTAAAATAGGTACCCAATACTTTTTTATTACCGATAGAGCGGTAGACGATAGCTCATTATAATACAGTAAAAAATACAAAACACGTTGACCGCCATAATATGATCACCAGCGGTCAGCTGTAATTTTTAAATTTTATATATTTGTGACCGCCGGTACCTATAAATGAATTAAGTTGTATACCTTTATTATTAACTTTTCTATGGCGCTATAATAATGCACCAAAATAAAGACTAGCATAACGGGAATTATTAAAAAATTTTTGATATAGGTAACTATAATACATTAAATTTTCAATTTTTTTTCAAATATATAGTACATGCGAATTTTGAAAACATTGAAAAATTTGCTTGGAGTATAACAAATACCTATTGAATGACTGCTGGCGGTCATGTGGTAGTCAATGTGTTTCAATCCTATTTTAAAATTTTTTTTATAGATTATTGACTATAGTAATTATGAAGATAGACTCATCCACAAACCAAGATATAAAACACCAAAATAGTAATAAATATATCAGATTAATAGATAAAAATTAATTTCAATCATCTTTGTCTACGTGAAACGCCTATATAAACATTTTCTACCAATTTTAACACTTTATATCTATAGTTAATTATTTTTTTAGACCTAGGTTATAATTTATTAAGATTTAAATAAAATAGTTTTAAATTTGTAATGATAGGTTAGTAAATCAAATTTTAAATAATTTAATAAACATTTTAAGAAAATTTATTTTTATAATAAATAATAAATATAATAACTCGATATTAATTAAATACAAATACTGCGGAATTTGAAATATGTGTGTCGTTTACTCGTATAATACTATCTTTGTTTTTTTATTGTGTTTGTGAGGTATAAAGAAAAACAACATTAAAACTATCAAAAATTATCCAACACTTAAAAAAAATAAAAGAACACAAACAGATACCTTTCACCGCAATTTCAACCTTTCAACCTTGAGATTCCCAGACACGGATCCCGCTTACATTAACGGGAGGGGTGGATTATATAAAGGTATATAAATTTAGATACCTACTAGTATTATAAATATATAATATATACATGCAATAGTACTTAATGTAATATGTCGCTTAGTAGGTCACAACTCACAACAATAATATTGTTATAAACAGACAACAATTTATTAATTTATGTAATAAAAATAAAAAAAAAGAAGATTTGTGACTTTGAATAATAACATAAACATATACTAACACACGATAACACAAATTATTGCTATTTAATATTTACTAAATTAAATAACACATTTTAATTCGGCCAACAAAGAGGAGGGCAGCCGCCCTTACTACTCCCTTGAATCCATGCCTGAAGATGCCCTAAAAAAAAACTAGTATTTTTTTAAATTTATTACATATAATTAATTTAATATATATTTTAATAACTACTTAAGGAATCAATTGTGTGAAATATAATTTGTTTAATTGTAGAAATCGATTATTATTACAAATTCCATAAACTAGTTAAAAGTTAAAACTGAATTTAAAAGTACATTTAAATATCGTGAAGTAAGATATTTTTAATTTTTAATTCTAATTTGTTTTGAGAAGACAATTTTTTTTCTGAAAACAATTATATAGTAACTATTATTAGAGACAACTAGGTACATGCAAATCATATGCAGTGTTATATTTTATAATGAACATTAAATTTAAATTACTAGACATTAAAAGATTTGTTGTAGAATATTTATCGTAATTTTTAACATTAAGATTTGTTCAATTTAATATCAATATTTTAATTTGTATTTATTTTTAGTTAAGCATCGTGCATTTAATAATATTATATATGTTTATCCATTTATGTGTATCGGTGTTATTCGTTATACAAGAGTAAGAACTGCTATAGATATAATAATATAATTATGTACTGTACGAAATTATTATTCAAATTGACAATAATAAGGAAAATATCTTGGACAAAATAACATCGAAAGACGGGTATATAGCATATTGTATTGAATAATTATCCTCAGATGCGCTTGTTTTTGTATGTGTATATCGAATAAATATATATTATTACTTATACCTACAATTATATGTAAGAATAAATTCCTTTTAAAAATGTACACACAATATATTATTATATAAAATG